TGTTTGTTACTCTCTGGTACTGGTGGGCTGTCTCTACTGTTTGTTACTCTCTGGTACTGGTGGGCTGTCTCTACCGTTTGTTACTCTCTGGTACTGGTGGGCTGTCTCTACTGTTTGTTACTCTCTGGTACTGGTGGGCTGTCTCTACTGTTTGTTACTCTCTGGTACTGGTGGGCTGTCTCTACTGTTTGTTACTCTCTGGTACTGGTGGGCTGTCTCTACTGTTTGTTACTCTCTGGTACTGGTGGGCTGTCTCTACTGTTTGTTACTCTCTGGTACTGGTGGGCTGTCTCTACTGTTTGTTACTCTCTGGTACTGGTGGGCTGTCTCTACTGTTTGTTACTCTCTGGTACTGGTGGGCTGTCTCTACTGTTTGTTACTCTCTGGTACTGGTGGGCTGTCTCTACTGTTTGTTACTCTCTGGTACTGGTGGGCTGTCTCTACTGTTTGTTACTCTCTGGTACTGGTGGGCTGTCTCTACTGTTTGTTACTCTCTGGTACTGGTGGGCTGTCTCTACTGTTTGTTACTCTCTGGTACTGGTGGGCTGTCTCTACTGTTTGTTACTCTCTGGTACTGGTGGGCTGTCTCTACTGTTTGTTACTCTCTGGTACTGGTGGGCTGTCTGTACTGTTTGTTACTCTCTGGTACTGGTGGGGCTGTCTGTACTGTTTGTTACTCTCTGGTACTGGTGGGCTGTCTACTGTTTGTTACTCTCTGGTACTGGTGGGCTGTCTGTACTGTTTGTTACTCTCTGGTACTGGTGGGCTGTCTCTACTGTTTGTTACTCTCTGGTACTGGTGGGCTGTCTCTACTGTTTGTTACTCTCTGGTACTGGTGGGCTGTCTCTACTGTTTGTTACTCTCTGGTACTGGTGGGCTGTCTCTACTGTTTGTTACTCTCTGGTACTGGTGGGCTGTCTCTACTGTTTGTTACTCTCTGGTACTGGTGGGGCTGTCTGTACTGTTTGTTACTCTCTGGTACTGGTGGGCTGTCTCTACTGTTTGTTACTCTCTGGTACTGGTGGGCTGTCTCTACTGTTTGTTACTCTCTGGTACTGGTGGGCTGTCTCTACTGTTTGTTACTCTCTGGTACTGGTGGGCTGTCTCTACTGTTTGTTACTCTCTGGTACTGGTGGGCTGTCTCTACTGTTTGTTACTCTCTGGTACTGGTGGGCTGTCTCTACCGTTTGTTACTCTCTGGTACTGGTGGGCTGTCTCTACTGTTTGTTACTCTCTGGTACTGGTGGGCTGTCTCTACTGTTTGTTACTCTCTGGTACTGGTGGGCTGTCTCTACTGTTTGTTACTCTCTGGCCTGTATGGTCCGGCTGGACTCTTAAACTTTCTTTGTCTCTTGTCATCTTCACTCGGATGTATTGGATCTAAGTATATTTTTCCCTGTTCTTGTTCAAGCTCTGTTATTTCCGTTTCCAGCAGGAGCATCTGCTGCTGCACTAATATGTTTCTCTTCTCCTCATTCTGTCTGAATAGTTGGGTGGAATTCCTTGGAAGGTGTTTTACGGTGATGGGACATTATCCAGGAGATATTGTGGGACGCCGCCGTGCTTCCGCTGCGGGGGCTGAGGCAGGCAAGAAGCGGTGTACCAAGGTCGTGGGGTGCAAGTCTCCTCTCACAGGCACACGGCGTGTAAATGATGATTTCATGGCTTCTCTCTCGCGCACACACGGGCCGCTTCCTCGTCCACCGGCTCATGTTGACTTGCTCTTCCATCACCTGGCAAAAATAGGTGGCATTGCAACTCTGGCAATTAATATCTGGAAGACATGATTGGTGACGGCACCACTGGAGTGCCTCTCTTGCGTGAGAGTCACCCTTGTTGGTAGGCCATCTGTAGGGAGGCGGTCGGCCGAGCGGACAGCACGCTGGACTTGTGATCCTGGGTTCGATCCCAGGCACCGGCGAGAAACAATGGGCAGAGTTTCTTTCACCCCTATGCCCCTGTTACCTAGCAGTAAAATAGGTACCTGGGTGTTAGTCAGCTGTCACGGGCTGCTTCCTGGGGGTGGAGGCCTGGTCGAGGACCGGGCCGCGGGGAACACTAAAAGCCCCGAAATCATCTGCAGATAACCTCAAGATATCTGGTGTATGGGTATGACTACCACGTTGGACCTCGCCCCCCACTGCCACCAGAGACTAGTCACATGATCAACCAGGGCTCCTTGACACACACCGCAGCTGTTGATACTTCAACTCGCAGTTCATGCTTCAGTACCCACATGCCCAACATCAAAGGTCTCCAATTAGTGCCTCGTGGCGCATTGGCATGCAAAGTTGGATCACAGCCAAACGGTCCCGAGTTCGAATCCCTTGGTAGATCAGAAACGTTTCGCCAACGTTTCATCCGATGCTTCTGTTCACTTAGCAGTAAAATGGTGATGGGACCTGGGAGTTAGACAACTGTTGAGGGTTGCGTCTCGGAGCAGGGTCGGTAATTGTCCTAGCGGGACGATAAAGCACCTAAATTATTGGGATCGTCTCAAAGCCCTCCAAATGTACTCACTAGAAAGAAGACGAGAGAGAGAGAGATATCAAATAATATACACCTGGAAGATACTGGAGGGCCAAGTACCAAATCTACACAGTAAAATAGCAAAGTACTGGAATGAACGATATGGAAGAAAATGCAGAATAGAACCAGTGAAGAGCAGGGGTGCCATAGGCACAATCAGAGAACACTGTATAAACATCAGAGGTCCGCGGTTGTTCAACACCCTCCCAGCGTCCATAAGAAATATTGCCGGAACAACCGTGGACATCTTCAAGAGGAAACTAGATTGTTTCCTCCAAGGAGTGCCGGACCAACCGGGCTGTGGTGGCTATGTGGGCCAGCGGGCCGCTCCAAGCAACAGCCTAGTGGACCAAACTCGCTTGGGGAGTAGAAGAACTCCCAGAACCCCATCAACCAGGTATCAACCTCGATAAGTCCATGAAGTTTAGTACCCCCGACTCTAGGACGCCATTGGACCTCGAGTCAAAATCCACCAATCGCTGAAAGTTGTACATTAAGTGGGAGCTACAGTAGCCCCCCCCCCCCCCCCAAAAAAAAAAAAACCTAGGAACAATCAAACCTTTGACTACAAGGAAAAGAAGGTAGTTAATCGGATGTATTCAGTTCTGGTGCGCCGCCATCCTGACTTCTATCCAAGCATGTAGACCTCATGGCCAGAAAGACACATGTGCGTTCAAGAATGTTCAACACCGGGCGACAAAAATCATGCCAGAACTAAGTCGACTCTCGTGTTGAGAGCCTCAGGACAATCAACACTGCTAACCAGACATGACAGGGCTGATGTCGAAACTTTTAAAATACTGAAAGATTTGGAGGGTATTGATCCAGACCACTTCTTAAAGTTGTCTTGATCAATGTAACATTAACACATACAAGTGGCAACAGGAGAAGTCACAGTAACGTGGCTAAAGTATGTTGACCAGACCACACACTAGAAGGTGAAGGGACGACGACGTTTCGGTCCGTCCTGGACCATTCTCAAGTCGACTTGAGAATGGTCCAGGACGGACCGAAACGTCGTCGTCCCTTCACCTTCTATTGTGTGGTCTGGTCAACAAGTGGCAACAGCTTCAAGCTCAACAAGCCACACATCAAGACAGTAAACAGGAGATGGCTTTTCTCCCAGATGGTTATAAACCCTGGACCACGACTTGGTATAAGTTATACAACCTTGGATCCCACTGAATCAACAGGAAGTGTGGACGTTTTACACCCACCCACCACCAAGGTGCGCGGCTGGCAGCTCCTGGATTGCTCGTTCTAGGCACTTCAACAGTGCAATTGGTTTTCTCATTGTTATATATATATATATATATATATATATATATATATATATATATATATATATATATATGTCGTACCTAGTAGCCAGAACTCACTTTTTGGCCTACTATTCAAGGCCCGATTTGCATATATATATATATATATATATATATATATATATATATATATATATAATATATGCGAACAAGCCTGAACGGTCTCCAGGCATATATGCAACTGATGTATTCAGCTCACCTCATTCATGATGTATTCAAATCACCTCATTCTTTGGGGCATACGTGAGGAACACAAATATTTGTGTTCCTCACGTGTGCCCCAAAGAATGAGGTGATTTGATAAAATACCATGCCCAAGATTACCATCAGAGTGCCGGCGGGAGGATGGGGAATTGGCCTTGGCTACCGTCCTCTTTTGTCCGGTCGTGATGGTCGAGTGGTTAAGGGATCCTGTACATCAGATGCAGAATGCTTCTGGCAGTATGGGTTCGAGTCACTTCTGGAGTGAGAGTTTTCAGTTGCATATATATATATATATATATATATATATATATATATATATATATATATATATATATATATATATATATATATATATATATATATATAATATAGATATATCAGGGTAGTAGGATTTCTTTGTGTATTATAGTTTGTATTATAGAGCTGTTAAGTATCGTCACACCTAGTTAACTCCTCTCCCAGCTACTCCAGCTTGCATTGCTAGTGTCCACATTAGTCTCTTGTGCGAGATGTTTTGTCCGGTCGCTTGTCCTCCCTCCTCTGGCAGCCCGTCCTTGCTGTTACTGTGTGCGTGTTGCTACTTGTCCTCAGGCTAGGCTAGTCCTGGCCTATCCTGAGGGGGGTAAGGGGCACCCTTTCCCTTCCCCTCACAATAAAACACGGATTCCTGTCTGTTAGGTACTCTCTTACCCATCTTAGTGCTCTTCTACATTCTTAAGACACATTTCAGTTACCAGCGTCCATCTGCTTATTACTGTTCTACTGTTTATCTTAATGATCACTTCTTTGTTTACCCTGTTAGTTCCTGTTGATGTTGTGTCCCGCCAAAACCTCAGTGTTGTGAGGTAAACCTCCCGGCTTATCCCCCTTTATTCTAATTTCCTCTGCTCAAGAATTAGTCTTGTCAAACCTCTGAAATTTCTCTATCTTCATTTTATATTTCTTTAGGTGTGTCGTTGAGGGCGGGGCGACACAGTGTAGACCAGAGCTCACGTAAGTAGTGCATGGTGGCCCCAGCAGGCCCATGCACACCTGGTGATAAGCCCAGGCCTGATGGGAACTGTAGGCCCCATTTCAGACTGCTCGTTAAATAGTTTTGTAATGAGTGCTAAATACATAAAATTTATGTATGGGTGTATAAATGTACAATTTGTATATGATGTACTTACAAGCAGCATAAAAGAACTAAAACTATTTATGTAAATGGTAATGGCAAGCAATTTTATTAAAGTAAGCCTCCTCAAAATCCTAGGCTCATACTAACTGGCTTGGCCCCTCCCGCGCTCTGTTGGCCTGCAGGCTGGTATGGAAGCCTAGCGCGCTACTAATGTTATTCAAAATACAAATACAAATATTTATTCAGGTAAAGTACATACATACAAGGTGAGATACAAAACGTTGATGGATTTATAGATAGAGCTAGTACATACAATGCCTAAAGCCACTATTACGCAAAGCGTTTCGGGCAAAGCATTCTGGTAACATGTTTCTATGGTCTCCGCCGCCAGTTTTGTCAACGTGTTGGCATATTTTCCTTTTCTGTGACAGGTGCTTGCCTCGTTTTGGTTCTATATTGTCCAGGAGATCTCCAGCCTTGTGTGTGTGTGCACTTGTGCCTGCACGTATATGTGTATGTATACATGAGTGTGGGTATGCGTGAATGCATACCAGTGGGTTCTTCAACATTTCGTTTATCATGATATATCAAATCGACCATTCGACTTGAGAATGGTCCAGGACAAACCGAAACGTCGTCGTCCCTTCACCTTCTAGTGTAGTCTGGTCAACATCATGATGTATTTTCCGTTATCTCTAAAAATGACGTAAAATGTAATTTTTTGTGTGTAACTAATTTGAGGGTACAGAGCCACGCGTCAGCTTTTTTGGGGGGCCTGCATTTTCAGTTTATAACACTACGGCGCGCGACATTTATATATAATGTCTACTGTTAAATCATTCCGTTTTATCTTAACAACAACTTCTTGCTCAGTTGTTGTCCATGTGGAGCATTTAGTCCTTAGCCTGTCGGTGAAGAATCATGTGTGTCACGATCATGTTACTCACTTCCTACTCCCTCTTAACTATTAAGATACACCCCCTAAGTCTTCGTAGTCCAGCCGAGTCAGTTCTAGACCCATACTTGTGACATATCTTTAACATTTTCAAGATTGTATTTTTAAGTTGTTTACCTATAGTAGGTTTCTAGTCTCGAAGCCTGGGCGGCCATCAAGCATGTCTTGTGATAACTTGATCGGCAATACTGTTGTTTGCTTGCAACGGCCTGCAAGCCCACATGTCCACCACAAGAGGCAGGCTGATCTGATACTTCCTGCAGGGACTTGTCAATGACTTCTTGAAAACACCCACTTTAATTTCAGCAATATTTACCGTATGTGATGGGAAGAGGCTTGTGAAGAGCAAGGGACCTCTGATACTCACCTAGTTGTGTTTGTGGGGGTTGAGCTCTGGCTCTTTTGTCAATACAGTACACAAAGAGCTCTGGCTCTTTGGTGTTCGTACAGTGTTGTCAGATTTTGTCCGTGGCACCTCTCCTTTTCCCTGGGCCCATCCTGCAATTTACTCTATATATTTCTCTACAGTAAGTTGTGCATATTTGAGACCTGACCTTAATGTTTCTTTGGTGTATATGTTATGGGATACCTCTCGTTACCTTGACATATAATTATATTTTGAGTGGAATATGCTTTGAGACGGTGCAGTACAGGTGCTGCGTGTTACTTTTATTTTTGAAATCAATCCAGCTCAAAACAACTCAAAGTTTGTAAGAGTTGTGCATATCGTACATGAATAAGCTGTCAGGATCTTCAAGTTTGAAATTGTCTATCGTGGCGTTACACATAGCTTCATACTGCATTTCAAGTTATTCCTTATGTACTGTGTACGATTGTACACATTTTTCGAAAGTGCGTGTGTGTTTTACATAGCTACTTTGCATATATCTCAGTGCATCTAATCCCATGTGATGGAACAGGTGCGAGAGGCAGTGTCCTGCTATACACACAAGCTCACCTGGATGATATACACTTTGTGTCATACCTTTCCTAACACCTATCACACATGTTGATGTGTGATGTCAGTGTGATTATATTTACCAATTACTTTACTGCCGCGTTTTCAAAATGAAGATATTTCAGTAATATCTAGATTTTAGTAGACGTCACCGTCTTTCAGATTGTATAGGATATCTGTGGCATGTAATAGCTTTTCGTTATTCGTCAACTAATGTAAGATTTTGAGGAGTGTGAACCGAGGGGGTGAAGGACTTAAGAGACATGCTGTAGGTGACTTCAAAGGGTTGAGTTTAGGCTGCGTGTGCCGTGTTGGCCACGGCAGGCGTCTTGCTCCCAGACATTCGTCAGTGTTGTGTTTAGTGCCTCGCTTGGCACCGGGTCCCACCGTCTACCAGCTGCTTCTGTCATGTTTGTTGTCAATGTTTGAGGTTCCATCTCTCTTAAGCCAAGCCCCACCACAAACACTAGGCTCTGCTTTAGCGCGTGCATAGAAGCGCTGTTTTTATTGCAGTGGTTTTTGCGCTCTCTCTGCATGTCAAATATTTTTTTTTATAATGCTTTCAGCTTTATCTTTATACTGCTCTTTATATTTCGCTTGACCAATTGAGAACGCGCGCGACTGTCTCAGATCGAGGGACATGCCATCTCTGGCACTACATACTCGTATCTGCTTGATACTTGCTTGATACCCACATCATGTTCAAATGAGAATTAATACAGGTAACATGTTCGAAAGAAATATGAAGCAGGAAGGACGGTTCCGTGAGTAATGTGTTAACGATAAAGGTAATGACTGGGCAAATGTAGCATCTCGTTGGAAGCTGTCTTGACTATTTAAACGTCCACACAAGGAATGGAACAATTAACAGCCGTTGCAAACGAAAAATCGAATCAACTTTGAGAACGCAGAAGAAACTACAAAAGGAAAATAGTATAGGCAATGCTCACACAGGCACGCATGCCTCAAAGAAAAAATAATCTAAAGAGGAAGATTGAAGAAATAGAGCAGAAGCTGATGCTTACCAGATTGGAGAAATTAAAATGGAACAGAGCGTCATACAGGAGTCGGGGAATAAATCGAAAGTAGTACTTTTTTATATTTGCAAAATAAAGACTTAAAAACCTCCCAATATTGAACCCATACTGACAAGAGAAGGTTCGTGCACAGACGGCGACACAAAATTTAGTGATTTCCCGAAAGAACAGTATGGAGCTGTGTTTAACATTCTGGTAGACAACTTGAAAATCCTGACAGCGTCCTCATGAACGCTATCCACAGCTATAATAATACTCTATAACAGATATAAACACAAACAACAGACTTTGAAAAATATACTGACCAAAGAGCCACGCACTCGGCCCCAGGACCTGACTCCTGTAACACCATACTTACTCAGAAATGTCAAGTAACAGTAGCACGAGCGCTCAGTGTAGCTGTTTTAATTTATCATGCATCCCATCCCCATCCCGCGGGCATACCCTGATAAGGGTTAAGAGGCACAAAATGACCGGTGCACGAACCTCATACATTAATCCAGTCATTCAGAGTGATTAGCAGCCCAGTCTCTAGTTTCATAATGAAAACGAACTACCTAACTTAGGTTAATACAGACTTAGAGATTACAATCCTGCCTTTCGCATCTACTCGACCACTGGCGAACTCACCGAAGCAGTTCAAGAAAAAATGCTGATGTAAACACGGGCTTTGCAAAGATATTTGATAAACGTGACAATGAAGTGATAGAGTATAAAATGTGGACTAAAATAATAACCGGTTAAGTAGGCGCTGTATTAATGTCTTGACAGTGGTCACAAAGATTAACAGATAAACAAAGCCAAGCCCGAGCGTAGGGAACCCTCTGTACCACAGGGTTTTCCTCTGTAACACTAAAACCAATGTAAACTACTCGATTTCATCCTCATATTAGACAGACAAAAACACAAATCAAAGCTTTCAGTTATCATTGCCGACAATTTCAATCAGTATGATTGCCTCAGTAGGAGACTGAAAACCTTCAAACCAGTAAAGTTTGCAATGGGCAACGGATAAAATGATATTCAACTATGGTAAGTTCCAGCTTCTTGGAAATGGACAACAACGAGGAATTTAAACGGGATCCACCACGTACGACGTAGTCAGATCTCATAGAACGGAAAGGACATGTAAAGTATCTAGGAATAATGATGCTCACTATTTAACATTTAGTGAGCATAATAGAAAAAACGTTGCAGCATCCGGGAAAATTATCAGTGATTATAAGAACTTTCAAATTCAGGGACGTCACTACAATGCTCTTTTTCAAATAACTTGTGTTCTTCATGTCGATTACTGATTAATACACGCCTTCCCTGTCAAGGCAGGAGAAATATCTGAAATAGAAGAAATACACAGAATATACACGTCATGCATTCACACGGTAAAGCACCAAAATTATTGGGACCGTCTCAAGAGCACTCAAAATGTGCTCTATAGAAACGGAACAGAGAAATAACACACATTGTGTGTGGGAGGTCAAGTTCCAAATAGGTACAGTAAAATAACCTAATGCAGTGAAAAATAGAGTAGAAAGTATATAATAGAGCAAGTAAAGGGTAGAGGTGCCATTTGCAGAGAACATTGTATGAACACCAGAGGTCCACGGCTTTTCACCCTCCTCCTCCTACCAAATATAAGAAATATTGCCGGAACTAAGTGAAAGTTTGCAGTAGGAAATTGCACACATTCCTGCAATAAGTACTGGATGAGCCAGGTTGGAATGGATATGTGGGCCTGCAGGGCCACGGAAAGCAACAGCCTAACCAATCACAGGATAAGCCTAGCTCCCAGAGTGTTGATAAACCTTCTACAGGCACTTACAGACTACAGGAGTACAGTGACATGCTTTCTCTTATTAAAAGATTGTTCTTCTTTTTAATCTGCATCCCCTCTCTCTCTCATGTAGTAATAATAATAATAATAATAATAATAATAATAATAATAATAATAATAATAATAATAATAATTGTATTTGTTCTCCATGCCCAACTAAGAACAGTAATATGTTGGAGCAGTATTTACATAGATATAATAGCCCTTTTACATAAAACACATTAATTGGAATTGACTCTATTGTTGCAATAAAATCTTATTAGTATAAACTTTATTACTAAGTGTGTTCTTTCGTTTTATTTCATTATCAAGTTACATTAACAATATTACGTTTTGTGAGAAATTAGTTATAAACTTGAAATAAAGAGGATTAGAAAACCTGAACTGTGACCTTCATATTGTCACAGGATGGTGTTGTGACCACCATATAGGTAGCGTTGTGACCACCATATAGGTAGCGTTGTGACCACCATATAGGTAGCGTTGTGACCACCATATAGGTAGCGTTGTGACCACCATATAGGTAGCGTTGTGACCACCGTATAGGTAGCGTTGTGACCACCATATAGGTAGCGTTGTGACCACCGTATAGGTAGCGTTGTGACCACCATATAGGTAGCGTTGTGACCACCATATAGGTAGCGTTGTGACCACCATATAGGTAGCGTTGTGACCACCATATAGGTAGCGTTGTGACCACCATATAGGTAGCGTTGTGACCACCATATAGGTAGCGTTGTGACCACCATATAGGTAGCGTTGTGACCACCGTATAGGTAGCGTTGTGACCACCGTATAGGTAGCGTTGTGACCACCGTATAGGTAGCGTTGTGACCACCGTATAGGTAGCGTTGTGACCACCGTATAGGTAGCGTTGTGGCCACCGTATAGGTAGCATTGTGACCACCATATAGGTAGCGTTGTGCCCACCATATAGGTAGCATTGTGACCACCATATAGGTAGCGTTGTGCCCACCATATAGGTAGCATTGTGCCCACCATATAGGTAGCGTTGTGCCCACCATATAGGTAGCGTTGTGATCACCATATAGGTAGCGTTGTGACCACCATATAGGTAGCGTTGTGACCACCATATAGGTAGCGTTGTGACCACCATATAGGTAGCGTTGTGACCCTCTGGAGGCATAGTGTAGAGTGAGGAGCCACAAGAGACAGGGAGCAGCGGGTGATGAGTACCTTTGGTGTTACAGAGATGGGAGGGCGCCGGTGTAGGGTGGTGTTCAGCTACAACCCGCAACACGACGACGAGCTCACCCTGTGTGTCGGCCAGACCATCACCATCCTCCAGGAGGTCGAGGAGGGCTGGTGGAAAGGGGTGCTTGATGGACAGGTAAGATCAGACTGTCTTTCTTAACCCATACACGGCGCCTGTCGCCATATGCGATATTTTTCCCTTTTTTAGGCATGTACCTCGTTCTACTTAATAACAGGACTTGAAGATTAGCAGAGTAGTGTATTACATCTTATATACGTACTGATATTTAAATATTTTAAACTGCAAATTTCACTCTCAAAAATTAAAACAAGCCAGCTTAACGCTAACAGATAAGCTTTGTAAGGTCTCTTAGGTTCTTTACTACAGTCATTTAAGACGTCAGCTTATTATATACAGTTCTAAAAGGGGAGTACCCGGTGATACTTGGGTCTCTCTCTTGTCTCCCCTGCTAACCCATTTGTCCTCTCTTACCTCTTGCTCTCTCATTCATAAGAACATAAGAATGAAGGTAACTGCAGAAGTCCTATTAGCTCATACAAGGCAGTTCCTATTTATAACTACCCAATCTCATTCATATATGTATCTAACCTAAGCTTGAAACAATCAAAGGATCCTACTTCTATTATGTTACGTGGTAATTGGTTCCACAAATCAACAGCCCTTCTGCTCTCTCGCTCTCTTGTTCTCACTCTTGCTCGCTCTCTTGTCTCTCTTGCTCGCTCTCTTGTCTCTCTTGCTCGCTCTCTTGTCTCTCTTGCTCGCTCTCTTGCTCTCCCTCTTTTGCTCTCCCTCTCTTGCTCTCCCTCTCTCTCTTGCTCTCCCTCTCTCTCTTGCTCTCCCTCTTTCTCTTGCTCTCCCTCTTGCTCTCCCTCTCTCTTGCTCTCCGTCTTGCTCTCTCTCATGCTCTCTTGTGCTCTTGCTTTGTTTCGCTCTCTTCCTCTTTCTTGCTCTCTTTTCTGCCCTCTCTTGCTCTTTTTCTTTTTCTTGGTTTCTCTTGCTCTCTCTCATGCTCACTTGTGCTCTCTTGCTCTTGCTCTTTCATGCTCTTTTGTGCTCTCTCCCTCTCTCTCATGCTCTCTTGCTCTTGCTGCTACTCTCTCTCTCTCTCTTGCTCTTACTCTCTCGTTTGCTCTCTCGCTCTCTCTTGCTCTTGTGCTCTCTCTTGCTCTTGTGCTCTCTTGCTCTTACTCTCTCGTTTCCTCTTACTCTCTCGTTTCCTCTTACTCTCTCGTTTCCTCTTACTCTCTCGTTTCCTCTTACTCTCTCGTTTGCTCTTACTCTCTCGTTTGCTCTTACTCTCGTTTGCTCTTACTCTCGTTTGCTCTTACTCTCGTTTGCTCTTACTCTCTTGCTCTATCTCTTGCGCTCTCTCGCTCTCGTTTGCCGTTTGCTCTTACTCTCTTGCTCTCTCTCTTGCGCTCTCTCGCTCTCTCGTTTGCTCTTACTCTCTTGCTCTCTCTCTTGCGCTCTCTCGCTCTCTCTCTTGCTCTCTCTTGCTCTCTCTCTTGCTCTCTCTCTCTTGCTCTCTCTCTCTTGCTCTCTCTTGCTCTCTCTCTTGCTCTCTCTCTCTTTCTCTTGTGCTTTCTCTTTTGCTCTCTCCTATAGTCCTCTCCTAATGGCTATATTTCCTATATTGCACTGGTGCAATTATTGAATGGCCCGTGTATGACACTCCCGTACCCCACATGTGTCATTTTGAAAGTTGGGTGAGGCTAGCCCCAAGCACCAGGTCACCAGGTTGGAGGTCACCAACCTCAGACAGACATATTCTTTATTATAGATATGCTGTAGTATATCCTGATTGTTGGAAAAACATTTATTTAATGCAAATTCAACAAAATGTCAAGATAAATTTATATTACTAAGTGAATAATTTTCAAGTTTGAGTAATTGATAAGCATTGTAAAATAAACATTTTGTTTAATGTAATTACAATAACTTATATAAAGGCTGTGCTGCAAGTAGCAGTTACTGAAGTGTGGAATAGATATTCAGTTGTTGTATTGTATGTTCACATACAGGTCGGCATGTTTCCTTCCAACTTTGTAGAAGACGTCGCCGAGGAGGAGCTTACACCCAAGAACACCGAGTCAGATCTTGAGAATATTAACAATCAGCTTAATATCAATGGTGATGGCAAAGGTATTTATGGTTGACCCTAAAAAGTTATATTATTAGTCTTTAAAATATTTACTCTCAAGGGTGTTTTCTGTATACACATGTATGTACATTCACCTTGTGTTGTTATACTTGCACATATTAGTCAATCTACACCTTTTACCCCCTTCTTTGTATTCACACCTCACTCATAAAATTTTGTTTCTCAAAAATGCAAAAATTTGTATTATAATTAATAATAATAATACCTGAGAACACCAGTGGCAGTAGACTACAATCATCAGGAAGGAACTAACAATGCTATACATACATACATACTGTGTTGTACCTTATTTCTTTGTCATTTTTCACACTTACATTGCTTAAAATTTTTTTGTATTACAGTTTGTATTACGAAGAAAATGTATCTTTACTAAATGTTCAGTTTGCACCGACTATAAATTGTCTCCCCTCTGTCCCTACAAGAGATAATTATGTATAAGCATGTAGACATCATCTCAATGTATTTCTCTTATTGATATTAATTTTTATTTATAAATATTTAGACATTTTACATTTATAATTGTTACATGTAATAAAGAGAGCATAAAATTACAATTGTGAGACATATGACAAACATGTAACTCAAAGTATAACAACTTTTTTATTGAAACATTACACACACAATATATGATTGTAAGAAATTAAGACATATGTCATCAGCAAATTCAAGGGTTAGCTTGGATCAAACACTCTTTACAGACACAAGTTTGTGAAACCACAGAGGAAGATAGTGTATGTAAGGCATTGAATTTGATGTTAATGGGATCACACACTGAAGTTCTGATGTACTGCTCCAGAAGTGTTTAAAATAATAATTGTATGCATATAGGCCTGTTCTTGAAGCCTGAGTAACATTTAATATTTCATATTCTTGTCTGTTGAGGAAAGGATTATTTCAACACCGGATGGATGTGTCATGTTTCAGAATGTTTGTGAATTTTTCTACTATTCTAGACGGGTGCATTCTGCTGGTGCCAGGCCATCCTCTCATAAGCCAGTTATGTCACCACCACATGCAGTCGTGTGTGTACACTTGGGCCTTGCACATAACACCAAAGGTGCACATTTTACAGAATACCATCTTCATGTGCAAAACTGGTGTACATAAGGATTGCATTCTGGAACTAAGAAGTCTTTCATAGTACTGTATTATATCCTGTGACCATTAAAGCAGCTTTAGAATATGCAGCACAAGCATAGAACCCCCACCTAGTAAAGCAGGAAAAAGAATGTTTAGCAAGTCCCAAGATATTCTTTGAAACTAGAACCAGATGTAAGAATGATGAGCTTTGAGAACAGGCTAAAAGAACTTAATTTAGTGACACTTGAAGAGAGAAGGATCAAAGGTGATATAATAAAAAAGTAAAAGATAATGAGAGGGAATAAACAGAGTGGCCAGACATTCTCCGGGTGAGGGACCACTGAGAGAGAGAGAGAGTACATGTGGAAGATAGAAACAAGTAAGTCAGAGATGTTACAAAAATGTGTGTGTGCTGTTTTATATATAATTAATGCCATGGTCTTGCGCATTTGGTTATGTTGACATTTGACTCCTTGTTATGAGTTTACCATCACTTCCATTCTTAGTGAAAGAAGCTTGAAGCATAATGGTGTAAGAGCATCTTCCATTCACAGATTTAAGGGGAAGTATGACATACTTCTGGAATGTCAATAGGTATAATAGATATGATGTGGAACTTTAGAGCCACATATCTCCCTCCTTGTTGACACACCTAAGTAAGCACAACTAGGTTAATACTCATGGTCATTTTCATACCAATAAAGAGCGAGTAGAGTAGAGGGGGTGGGAAAATTAATATGATATACTGTACTGTATATGCAGATCCCTGAGTCTGTAATCATTTCATTTGTTGGTGAATTTGTGGAGACAAATTGGGAAGCTGACCAATGTCGGGTTGGGATGTCTGGGATGTCTGCCATCCCTCATCTCTCCTTGGGAGTCTTCTCTGTTCTTTACAGATTAATAGCAAATTTGAGAGCACAGGGAGGGTAAGTTCTCTCTGTAAGGTTTTTCAAAAGACACCTCACAGTTTTTAATTCCTTTGGGATGAGACAAATGAAGAGAGGACTTCAGTTGGATTTTAGATGAAATATACATTCTTAATAGCATTTTTGGTGTTTTTTTTTACTGGATAAATACAGAATAGTTCTCTACTGTATTGCATTTTGGTGCACAAATAAGGGCTAAATATAACATAAAGAGCAAGATAGGGACTGCAGGGTACAGTACAGTATATATGTTCTTGCTGAGCTGTAAGTTTTTTTTCACATTTCAGATACTGAGCTTTTATGCAAATAAAGCAAAACAAGTGTAGTGTTGTGTGGAACACAGTCAGGCAGATAGTCGCACATTATAATCAAGGCTTAACATTGATAATAATGAAGCGTGCTGATTAAAAGTATGTATTGATTTACACAAAAACAATTAACATAGGCAATACTGTGTGTGCATACTGTATTCATTGAATGACAAATAATTATTAACATTGGTGCATGTGAGAAGTACTACCTCATCATATTTGTTGCTAGTGTTATAGAATTTTAAATGTAGTCAGACCTGTCTTACTGTAAGCTTAAATGTGGTCCTGTAATGTAATTGGTTTTTAATCACAAGAGTTTTGTACACTAATATGAATTTTTTCTAAGTTGATTGACTGGTCTCTCATAATGCGGTGCTGGGTGCCAGTGTGGGAGAGTCTCACTTGCAGGAGTGAGTGAGTGAGTGATGTGATCAAGTAGGCTCCATACAATGATGCGAGTAAGAATGTGAAGCTTATTTTCTGGCATTAATTAGCGAGTTGGATTGGAAGGATACCAAGGAATTAACGAAATGATTGTACTAGGTGATTTGAATTATCAAGTTGGTATAGGCCTTGAGAATGATTGATTAATGAGTGTGTATAACTCCTTGGTGTAAGAAAGTGAAGGATATGTATAAGGGGTGGAATCTATGCATCACAAATCAATACTTTAGGTTCATGGTTGTTCTCAACCCTGTGGTTACAGTGCAGTTACCTTGTGATGGTTATAAAGGTTACCAGCCATACAGACCAGTCTTTGACTTGGTCATGAGCAGAACAAAAGCAAACCTGTGACCTAGTAGGGAAGATAGGGTCCAGGGAGCTACCTCACCACTTCCCCCACAGAATGAGGCATTTCATCAAATTTAATGCTGGTTTTGAATAGGCTGAACGGTGGCTCCCAGGAGCTACCACACTGAACAGAAAACAAGACTCGTCAGAAAAGGAAAACCAGTACAAAAATCTCATAGGAAAGAGACCAGACTATTAAACCCTTATACTAGGGGGTGGATAGTTTCCAGAGTCGTTTGCTGCCTTGTTTGTTTACTTTGTGCACTTTATTTACTGGTTTACTGTACAGTACTTTGCTTACTTTCTTGGGATTTGATTTTATGATGGGGGACCTAGGGGTGGTCATGAAATCCCTGCTGCCTGTGCCTCTGTGAGGGGGTCCAGGTCGCCTCTGGTCTCCAGTGAACTTTTATGTACTCGGGGGCAGATGGGATTTATAGTTGTGGAGCTCGATCAGTGCAGGTAGCTACAGCGAGCCGCCGAAGTCTTCCCAGAAAGAGGCATTTCATTACATTCAATGCTGGTTTTTGTTTTTTTTACTCTTCATTGGAAATATTATACACATTTTGGCATGCTTCTCTCATAAGGATTGTTTTATTGTATAGATGTAAAGAGAATCATGTTCAAATATGATTTTGGTATGAGAGCAGTTAGACAAGAAAGTTTTGCAAATGAATGATGGTGCCTTCCAAAGATGTAAGAGGTGAAAAGGTAGGAGTCATTGATAAGGGTTCAAACCTATGTGCTGGATGTTCCCAGAGATGCTCTAGTCAACTGTACCACAACTTGGTAAAAGAATTGCAACCTGGGGTGCCAGTACCCCCCCCCCCCCATGAGGATCCCGAGGCTTCCACCTAAGCCGAGCCTAACTTAACCGTTAGGCTTCAGTGAAAGCCTGTGGATCCTCGTGGGGGGCACTGGCACTCAAGGTTGCAATTCTTTTAGCAAGTTGTGGTATAGTTGACTAGAGTGCCTCTTAGAACATCCAATGCATAGGTTCGAACTCTCATCAAGGCCCTTGTGGATTTATTCATTTGATACATCATGTTACTGTGATTTCTGTGTGTAGTAATCTTAATGATAATGACTGTCAACAAATGTTTCTGAAAGACATGGGAGGCAAATACCATGTCAATGCCTGGCTTACAATGCTAAGCAGGTATTGTGTGTAAATTTGTACACAATAGAGTTTAAATATTTTGAGAAGTTGGGTAATTTAATATTGAATGAGGTGATAGCAAGTGAAAGACGTGGATCTTGCTGATGCAAATCAGAAGTGGAATGCAAATGCAATTCTTGAAACTGTCACATTCTTTGTCACATTTGAAACACATTCTTGAAGCCACATCCAAATATACTGTATACTGTGTACAGCAAACACTGATGTCAAAACACTGATTAAGGAGAACCTTGTATGGAGAATCATAAGCTCAGAGTTAAGCAACTGCTGCAAACCTCCAGCAGTGAACCTCCAACAGTGAACCTTTAGCAATGAACCTCCAGCCAGTGAACCTTGGGGAATAAATGATTGACTGGAAATATACAATCAGACCTGTAAACAAACACTTGTGCTAGGCAACACTTGAGGAACAAACCTTAAGCACAGGATTCAGATACCCAAATCAATGAAATCAAGTTGTACTGAAAATGCAGTCCCCACCTGAGACTGAGAAAATGTTCAGGAATTGATTGTGGTCGAGTTGTGTGTACCTGGAGGTGTGGGAGGTGCTGTCAGCTAGTGGGGGATGCATCACTAGTGGTTGTTCCTGGCAGGAATGAATGTTCTCCAGTTACTCCATGGCACTATATTGCCCTCCAAGAACTGTGAAAAAAAAATCCATGTATCACCAATGCAAGTATGTTTTCCTGCCTTAGTATACATGATTCTTTCCTGTTGGAAATGGTGAATCTTGCCTTAAGGAGTAGACAGTTGAAATTGCTCAGAAGCGAGTTAAAAAGTTTGTGACTTGAGATTGAGGATTGTTTGCTAGAGACAGTAAATTATAATTGTATACAAGGGAGTGTGAGGTCAGGAAGAAGGAGAGAAATGCTTAGGAGGAGGTGGGGCAAATATGGTGGTAGAGTTTATTAAGATGACGCACACACCATGTACAGTACTTTTCTCCTAGTCGGTAAAATGCTTGAAACACTGCTGCAGAAGTTTTTCTAGTTTAGAAGTACAGTACTAGTTCTCAATGCTTGCCTGGCCAGGTACACCATTATAGGTGGGAAAGGAGGGGGTGGTGATAATTTTTTGTTTATTGTTTTTGTAACAAGAATACAGCATTTTATAGCATTAATTATTTTTTTATGTGGTAAGATATAATACTGGAAAAATATATTGCATTTGTGATGAACATGAATTAAATTAATTTTTTATACAATAATTTTTATTATCACATTAATGGGATGAAAACTCCTTTTATAAAGAGTATTCTTAAGTTTTCTTAGATGCTTTGTCACTATAAATACTGCATAAAGAGATCAGTAGACTGGTTTGTCCCATGAGCTCCTGGAAGTTCTAGGAACACTTGACTTGCCTCGTGAGCTCCCTTTAAGCTCAAGGAATACTTGGCTTGTCTTGTGAGCTCTTGGAAGCTCTAGGAACACTTGGCTTGTCTGATGAGCTCTTGGAAGCTCAAGGAACAGCCATTTTTCTTAAAAGTGGTACTTTCTTGCTACTTTCAGTGAATATTCTGTTGAACAGTATTAAATGAGGAAGGCATACCTGATTGCCTTCTATATTATTGTATACGAATTATCACTTGAAATTTTGGCAGTCTGACCTATCTGTGCATTCCCAACCACAAACATTGAAATGAATTCTCTACATTTTATACATTTTAATACATTGGAATTTTTACTGTTTAAGTATGGATAATACATTTTAGCATCATCAAAATGCAAAAGTGTTAAGAATTGGCTTACTCTGGAACTTTGTTATGATCAAAGCTACACACAGTGACTACACCGTAACATTTGACTGCTCTTCATGATGTAGGGATCAAACTCTCCTCATGTGAAATAAGACTGAAGTGTTTTTTTTACTCTAGGATAGTTTTTATATGAATTTTAATTACTGCAAAATCCTTCATACAAAATTTCTTTTCTAACAGAAATAAAACCGAAACCCATTCAGGGAATGGGCTATGGAGTTAAGCTTACTGACTTGAAGAAAGAAGGGACCACCAAAAAAGAATCTGAGAACTCCACAAGTAATGGGTCGGCAAAAATCCTTGGATCATCAGGGTCTTCAGCATTTCAGCCGGTTCACAAGACAAAAGAAGCTCCTAGAGAAAATGGTAAATGTACAGGAAGACCTGAGTTTCTCCATTGTAATCATGAATGCTCCATCATAAAATATTTGTTGCATGCACTTTATTACGCATCCTTCAAAGGAATTCTTATCGTTTGTCCTAAAATATTTGCAGTGTCTGTGTAATGCATAGAGAATGACCTCAAATGTCATCATAAAACGTTCAGAACTTAGAAATGGTCTGATGCCTGGGAATTATCACAGTAATTTCAGTTGTTAACAATATTCTACAAAGTTTTGTATTAGATTCAGTTATATTTATTTTCTGTGGTGGCCTCTTGGTGCTGCCACTGCAGAAAAGTGCTTATGCTTGAGCATAGGCACTCTTACCACAGAGCCTAGAGAGTCAATAGAAAACAAACCCTTGCCTTTATTTGAAGAAACAAAATGAAAGGAAACAATTCAGACATTAACTGGCAATGGATAAATAACTATAGCTGCAACTGTCATGGCCATCTCTAGGTGGTAACCTAGGAGACCCAGGATCCAAGCCATCTACCCCTCCAACTTCATGTGCCTGATACTGCCTTGTACATATCATTCCATGCTTTGTTTATTGTTACTATTTATGCATAACGGTTGCATTTCTAACACCCACCTTGCATGTCATTAACTAATTATTTTGCTCCAGCATTCAATTCGAGGCTATCTTCCTTGGCACCAGCTTGTGTTTCCCCTAAAGTTATCTTTCCTGTGGGGTTTGGGTTGCCTCCTCTTTGAGTTGACTCTTTTTGGGGCTGTCCCATTTTTTAGGATAGTACTTAACAGGACTTGCTCTGTCAACAAAGTATTGATGGGGGGCAGAATAGATGTGTGTGTACATTATTCTGCTGTATATTAAGCATTGTGCTCCTGGCACTGATTCATTATGGTGTTGGTTTCTTGGCCTTTGGTCAGGTGTGTGCTTAAGTTTCTTTCTGTTGGGTTGATTTGAATGGAAGCAAAACCTTGGAAACCTGTCACTGGGCTGAACCAAGCCATAAACACGGGACCTGGACACACACCCACCTGAAGGGGCAGAATTGGCCTCGGCCAGAGATACAGAGGGAATCTCATAAACTTTCCAGAATTCCAAGACCTCAGGCCTAGCTACAACAAGGCTACCGAGACAATGATAGGGTAATCCTGGAGCATCCCCAGCAAACGCTGAAGAGCCCCTAAAACGCACTTCTGCCAACAAAGATGAAGCGAACAGCTCTATTGCCATAACCAGCAGCTTGCCCACTGCAGTGATCTGGGGATGCACAAGCCATACCCCCCAAGGGACTCCCAGTATTGGGACCAAACTGAGAATTCAGAATTTAACAAATGCCAAACCTCAATCCAAGATGAAGGTGCAGAGAATAAGGTCCTACAGAGAGCACCCAAGATCAAGAACAAGGATCTTTCCCCCACTTCCCTATTCTTGGCAACATAGACTGACACAACTAGATTAATTAATGGGGCAGAAGCATGCATGTGAGCCACAGCTCACTGGACCACTCAAGCCAATCTAATACCAGTTCCCGAGCATGAAGCTGAGAATGATTCCTGTCAGAGGTACTGAGCTCCCCAAAGCTGTGACCAGGTGAGTGAGTGATAAGGGTGGGCTGACTGAGACCCAGAGTAACCTGGGCAGCCACCTTGTGGTGGTCTAGCACATCATGGTTAGGGTTTTAACCTGAATGTACCTAATTTTCTTTGTTTTGTTTTTGTCTTTGGCTTGTTTTGTTGTGCTTTTGCTATCTGGTGGGTTTTTCTTGCTTTTAGTTTGATCTTCGATCCCCCAAGATTCTTTCGCTTTGTAGAGCAAGCCAGATTTTGGTCCTGGCTCCTGGTAGGGTCTTAGAGGCTTGATGCATCTCTCCAAGGTTTAACTAATCCATTGTTCAGCTTGGGAGACTACTTAGGGTGGCTTCCCAGAAATATTTCTAGATTATATAAAACATGCATGCTAATTTCTTTAATATATACAGTATTGCATAGTAAATGTTTTGCATTGTACTGAATACTTGCTAATTCTTTCTATTTTATGCAACAGGTCAAGTGAAGGAGTTTCGGGACCTACCTCACAGACTTCCTCCAGCACTCGAGCCTAAAACAGAGAGAGTTACTTCAAAAACAGATAAAACCCGAATTAATGCTGCTGACAAAGAGCGCATCAACTCGCTTGAAAAAGACAGAACTAACCCCATTGTTGAAGATAAAAATAAGGCAAGTCTAGCCAAAGTACTTGCTATATATATATGTCATTTGGTTATTTTGTTTGGCAACATTCACATCGTAGGTTGTGTGGAGGGCTAATATTTAATGTACAATATGACACTACTGTTCTCCTTAAGAGACAACCAACTTGAGACAACCTCAAGTTGTCCAAAAAACTTCACTAACTTATGGATGCTTTCCTGGTATGGTGGCAAATCGTCACTCACTCTTTGTTCCTCTGAGAGGGAGGTGGCCAGGTTTAGGCTCTGGTCCCCAGTAGACCAAACAGAACTCCCGTATCTGATGTAACCCTGTACTTGCATATGGAAGAACATTAAGTGATGACCACTTACTTTTATGTTGCAATTTAATCAAACCCTTTCTGACTTTGTGTCTGGTTGCCATGTTGATGTCTGTAAATGTAAGGAACTAAAGAAAAAATTTACAATTCATCTTAATGTGAATAACTTATTGTAATATTGACATGGATTTCATATGTTGTGTGCAGAAGTGCTAAAGGAGATAACTTGTGCCTGCAGGTTGAACAAAATGGCAGAAGGGAACTTCCTATATCAGTTGCAAGTACTATTCCACCCCAGCTGCCACCACCTCAGTTACCTCCCAAGCCTGGTAAGGACATTATGATAACTGTGAGCCTCTATTATTGAGTGTGCGTTGAATGACAGTATGTACCAACACTTGGTCTTTGTGCTAAACCTCTGTCATCCTGTTAGACACCCAACCCACACATCTGAAATTATAGGAAGTGACGATGATTTGGTCCATCTTGGAGTTGATAATGGTCCAGGATGGATTTAAATGTTGTCATTCTGTTATTTTCTGATGCATGGATTGGATGTCTAATTTTCAGCCACATTACTGTGATTTACTGTCTTCATACCGAATGCCTTGGCTCAAAAGGCAAAGTTTATATAAATTGCTGATAATCTTGTGTTCTGTCTTTACAAGTTTAAATCAAATTTAAATACTGAAAGTACTTGCTATAAATATAACCAAATTTTGTTATTATTTATAACAACTTTGCACCACAGAATAGCTATTTATGTAATTTGTATCTGCAGTGCGGGAAATAGCACGGGTCATGTTCCCATACGCAGCAGAACATGAAGACGAGTTAGAGCTGAAGGAAGGAGACATAATCACTGTTCTTTGCAAGGAGCTTGAAGACAAAGGCTGGTGGAGAGGAGAACTTAACGGTCACATCGGAGTCTTCCCAGACAACTTTGTGGAGCTGATGAGTGTGGAGGAAACGGTTAGTGTACCATACTTTTCACCCTCCCTCCCTCCCTCTCTGTCCTGCATGGGGTAGAAGTGATGAGTGGTTGTTAGAATGACAGAGAAAGTGTGACTAGACATACAGTACCATTTTAAGAACATAAGAATATAAGATACTGCAGAAGGACTGAGCAATAAAGTTCAAGAAATAGTTTTTTTATGGCATTTACTTTTAACTGCAAAAATATGGTTATCACTTTTTGTAAGATATAATAAAGATATGATTAAGTTGCATTATTTTGAATATGTTCATAAGAAATTTAGATTTCCCTGCATAACAGTAGCTTCATTACTTTTGTTTTACAAACTAATAAAATGTACAGTATTTTGTTAAGGAGTTTAGTGATTACTGTAAATTGATAAAGTGATGCATGTTATCTGGTGTATCTTGAGTGACACTCGTGTGGTAGAGCATATTAATGAGGTTATGACACTTAACAAGAATCGAAGTGCCACAACTGAACACAAGTGTCTTATCAAACAAAAGTGGTTTGCCATTATGTTCAGTGATTTTATTCGGGATAAATCTAATTTTAATAAGTGTTCATTCTCGTTTCAATCTGTTGCCCAAAAAGTCATTTAACCCAATCCTGGGGAGTTGAATCTCCACAAACAAATCATTCATGAAGCAAACATAATGTTATTCTCTTCAGCAGCCTGCATCATGATAACAAATTAATTTAGCAAAGAATAACAAGATTGGGGATTATCAATATACTGTAAATCTGTTAAATTACATAAACTACTAGAAAGTGATTGTATTTTCAATTTTGTGTGTGTGTGGGGGGGGGGTTAAGCAAGTACCCAAGAGTACTTGGGTACTTGCTCACGAATGAAATTCGGACACCTAAGAATACTAATGTGGAGTTAAATAACACATTACTTTTTTCCCCCAAGTTAGGTCAGTCACTTCAGTTGGTGTGGTAGCCAGGGGCTGGTCCCACCCAGGACACAGTTCACATGCCAGGTTCTAGATGACTCCTAGCGATTGTAAAGTTACAAAGAATCATTTTAAGGGAGTTTAGAGTGATTTAAAAGATTTGTGTGGCATATTAAAGCAAATGGTTGTCTTGGGGTGGATTGAGGTATGCTCTCCACTCAGTTTCTTGTTCCATTGATAATGGTAACAACATACAGTAATTTGCAAAGCTACATGTCTTTTCTGGGGCCAGAGTCAATACAATACAATACAATACAATACAATTTTATTTAGGTAAGGTACATACATACAATAAATATTTACAAGGATTGTTTAACTTATAGGTAGAGCTAGTACATACAATGCCTAAAGCCACTATTACGCAAAGCGTTTCGGGCATGATAAACTTAAATGACAAGCTTAATACTAGTCACACAGAGCATAGCAGTGTCTGTGTTCTGGACAAGTCCAGTGCAATAAGAACTACTGCAGGGGCCTAGCTCTAAAAGCATACCTTGAATAGGAAATATTATACTACTTAAGCTAGTATGGATAAGAAAATTCAATGGTAACTAAATATCAAATTGTTTAGCAAGTAGCATTTTTTCATCCAAAAATTATTACTTATCCTAAATCCCACCTCCCCAATGGGTCAGTCTGGGCAATATATAATTTATCACATGTTTGCACATCATTGAGTATTTGGATGTCAAAAATTTCTTGTATTATGTTTGTTTTCAATCTTTACAAGAATGTAATGTGGTATATAACTGCTAAGTCTAATTTTTTTATGGTGCTTTCTGCTTGCATGTGTTGGCGTACCCATAGGCAAGAAAGGTTAGTATCAGCTCCATGTAGCCCCTCCATAATAATTACCTGCTACTTCCCCCATCCACAATAATACCCTGTTGAGTACTTTCTCCTCCATAATGATGCCATGTTGCCGACTGCCCCCTCTCTATAATGATATGCCCTGTTGTGCACTCCTCCATAATAATATCCCACTCCTGTGGGTGCATATTTAAACTTGTGTATAGCTCACTATGCCTGCCAGGTTGCTGTTTTGGATTTTCTCCAGTAGTCTAGTTGGTCACTTTCCCTCCTTTCCAGTGGGGGTTGGTTTTGTGGATTTTGGCAGTGGCGGGTACTTCCTGTCAGCTGCTTGGCCATAAGTTTCAGCTGCGATGTGTATCACCGACTTTAATTTCTGGAAGGGCTTCCCTCTGTATCTCACAGAGCTACCCACCTGGAGTTCTCCAAGCCCAGGTACCACACCAGGCTCTGTCGAATCACATGCACTCGGAGACCAGGACCAGAATCTGACCCCTCTCAATAGAGGTATAGGGAGGTGTGGATACTAGACCAACCACATGCCCAAAACAATCAACTGTTGGAAAATATTTTCAACTCCAGTTTTAACTTGTGTACACAATCGTTGTCCAGGTCTAACTGCTAGTTAGTTTCACAGCCTTACCACCAATTGACAGCATTGGCAACCCAGGGGTCTGGGGCAGCTAGTCCAGTTATTTATGCACTGCACATTGCCCAAGCATGATTACTCCAAACATCATGGGAAGAAGGGAAGTGTGGGAAAGGGAAGATACAGAGGAGACCCACCAGAAAGACACATTTCATTCATTCAACAATGGATTTCTGAGAGGGCTCATTATTTCCTGCTGAGACTCCAGAGAAGAACTGCTGGAGTCTTGAAAGCCCCAAATAAGAAAAAGATGACGAGAGGCCCAACCAAGCCGAGGCAAAGAGGCACCAGCAGCCAGCAACATCATCTGGCAACAGATGCTTATCAACACCAAAACCAGGACTGAAAAACAGACCACTGAAGCTGCCTCCAAATGGAGACACAAGGGAAGAAAGGAAAAAAACACTTCAAGCCACTGAATACCACCACCAAGAAGACAGGTGCAGATAAGGGAGCAGAAGACATGTCAGGAGGATAACATGAAAGCAACAACAGTCACAGATTGGGGCACCTGCAACTCATGGCAGTGAGATCATTTGAGATAATTTCCAAGAGAACTACCTGAAAGAGTAAGCACCCACAGCATGTGGTATCCCAGATAGACACCCAGCCAAGCATTAACCTAATGCCATGGGGCTGAACATCTCTGTACAGAAAGCAGTTTTCCCAATGCAGGAAAAGGATGTTGGTAAGAGGGCTGGCCCAGAAGGATCGGCTATAGGATCCACAGAGGCAACAGTCTGTGGAACATTAGACCATGGAATGCCACTTTGGAGAAATGTCAAGGAAGCACAAACCTCCAAGGAACAACATCCAGCCAAACCCCAGAAAGAGATGGAACCACAGAAGATGAACAGGGACAGACGCTTAGTTCCATGGCCTGAAAAGCAAGGGTGAACTGGCCACCAAGGATGGATACCCAACAGGCTAAACAACCTACACAGGAAAACACCAACCCGAATGGAAGGGACGTGAGCACATCCCACTGTGGGGGAAAGCAAAAACAGCTTTTACAGAACTACAGCCTCCTCTGCCAAGACATTGTTACGAGGTAGCTTGGAGAGTTACTGAGGAAGGGAAAAAGGGGGAAGCTATCTCAGAAATCGAGAATTGAATATAATGTATTGTCTTTTTCTGATGAGGCCCTCAGTAGCATTTTGTCCCTGCTCTATTCCCATTTTGCCTATAGGGTGGAGGGGTTTGTTTGGGCAGCACTGGAGTGAGGGAGCAAGCTGGCAGGGACCTCTGCATGACCTGAGCTCTCACCTGGCAAGGCTTCCCTTGCCTCACAGAGTACCAGATTCTGGTCCCCACTCATGATAAACAAGGGTGTGCTTCAGAGGCTGGACCAGTGCTTAGCTGCTTAACTTAGGAAGCTATTGAGGGCCGGATTTTTCCTGTCACAAAGTTATAAATAGGGAATGCATTCTTGAACCACCAAAAATCAATATGCAAAAAAAAATTTGGGGACAAGTAATGAAAATACAGTACATTATTTACCTTGAATGATGGACTTATCCTGCTTGTCAGGACAGGCAACTCTTAAAGTGTTCTATTTACTGGAGGTGGCAGTAGAGGGTGGTGATGCATGGACACTATAGATTGATGGGTCATCTTCACTGTCAATGGCTGCTGTAGAGGTTGTGGGTTTTGGGGCAGACTTTTCTTGAAAATATACTAGCACTTGTTGAGCACACTACAGTATTTTCCATCTCCAATAATTTTGCCAGTTTTAGAACCAATTTAGCTGCCCCTTTATCATGAGCACTAGCAGTCTCGCCACTCAATTTCATGTGTAAATTTACCCTAGCCTTTAATATGTAAACCCACCCATCACTTGCCATTACATATCACTTACAATTGCACTTAATTTATTCATTAAATCTTCAAAAAGACTAATGCAGTAGCATTAGTCTGGGTGAACAAAGGCAGATAGGATTTCAATAACAATTTTGTTCTTATTTGTGTGATACAGTAGTAGCTTTTCCATGTCATAAATCATGAGAAATTTTCTTTGATTTCAATGGTGCAGAAACCTTCACATGTCATAAATCATACATTTTTATAAATAACTGAAATAATGGCCAGCAGATCTACACAGGGCACACAGGAGAGCACTGTTGACTGTGCAGGGTGGCTCCGACATGTGGACTCCACAACAATGTCGACGTAAAAGCAGGCCCGCTCTTAGAGTTGTGTGGACATAAGTAACACTGGTCATAATGTGGGGTTTGCTTTGCTAGTTCATATAGTAGATCGAGACAATAAACTGGAACTTTGAAGGCTGTTCTTAAGTCGGACGTTCATGAGTCTGGGACGTCCTATATTAATAAAATACCTCAGTGTTTCCTAATAACTCCTCCAACACCTGAGAAGACATTCATCTTTGTTTCCTGATTCCATAATATTGACTTCAAACACAATCCTTGTAGCTTTCTGTAGTACGGCAATTATCTAATTTATTTACTTAATACTAAATCATTATAAAATGGTACAGTGCAGAAACCTAGTTATTATTTATTTTATACTAAATCATTATTGCAAAATATTGTGCAGCAATTTGGAATTATTTAGTACGTATTACTTTAGTGAAATTAAATTTGTTCTCGTATAGGCTAAACCTCCTCGACCAGAGAAGCCTGCAGCTGTGTTGGCCAAGAAGGGATCACCAAACAGCTCGGCAGACAGTACTCCAACAGGAACACTTAATAAGTCAGGTGAGTCATTAAACCTCTTCCCTTCCAGAACATGAATGAAGACTAAATTTGAGTTGAACAATGTATCATATACACAGGTGAATTAGAGAGGCATACTGTATTCTTTTATAACTTGGTTTCATTATTGTTGAAGGAAATGTTCACAAAGATGTAAATGTAGCATTCATTGGCAAACACATTTCAATGTATAACTTAAATACTGTTCCTCATGATCAGTATAGTTAGAAATACAGTTCATAGAAATATAATATTACAATAAACAACCAAGCTATGGGAAACTGACAAACTGTATTAAGATACAATGAAAGAAGCTGATTAACAATTTTGCCATGACAGACATATTTAAAAGTGCTGAGAATGGATGCATAAAAATTCCAGACAGCTTTGTGAATTTGAGATGGTTTCAATGTGAACTAAAATGTGCTTGCAAAAAGAAGGATTTAAAACATGTGTGGCAGCTTCATACAAAAGAAAAAAAGGACACGTCAGATGATGATCGTCGTCGTCAAAGGGTTAGAGAGCTACGTACACCTCAGTCTCGCAGTCCTTCTCTACTTGGTGTCTCCTTGCAGACAGTGATACATACAACCCTTACACCAGCCGGTCGGCTGAGCCAGTCGGCCGAGCAGACAGCACACTGGACTTGTGATCCTGTGGTCCTGGGTTCGATCCCAGGCACCGGCGAGAAACAATGAGCAGTTTCTTTCACCCTATGCCCCTGTTACCTAGCAGTAAAATAGGTACCTGGGTGTTAGTCAGCTGTCACAGGCTGCTTCCTGGGGGTGGAGGCCTGGTCGAGGACCGGGCCGCGGGGACACTAAAAAGCCCCAAAATCATCTCAAGATAACCATGAACTTCATTCTCCTCATAAATGTCAATTTTTCAATTTTTTTTTTTTTAATCATGCAGTTACTAACCTTGCATGACTACCCATAACACTCAAGTGACTAATGCCTCTATAGTGACTATAGTCACATTGCTAACCTTTAATTTCTTGAAATGGTAAAATAATGAGTTGTCAATCTTTTCTGTTTAAAAAGCCTATCTCGAGTGCCTTGTAGATAAGCATTTCCTCTCAACCAACAACATTCTCCTACAAAGCAGTCTTAATCTGACAATCTTGTATTCACCACATATATTATTCTGGTTATTCTTTGTTGTCTTATGCATAAATATCATTACTAATTCTCCCTGTGCACTTATTTATTAGCTCATTTATTCTTCCTAATATTTATTCTTTTATCATACATCATTCAGAGCCATCACTATTCACATAGCACTCAATCTAATCTTATCTGTGATCAGGTGTTTCTTGAGGTGCTCTGTTTCCACTGGTTTCATGTCATATATACTTTAACATGGTCCTCTCCATGAGCATATTATCAGGTAGACTTGCCTATCTTTTCATTTCTTTTATTTTGATTTCAAGGTGGCCCCCAGAGCTCTGCCCTGGGGGCCATTTTGCTGGCTTTAGGGGCTAAAGAAGGGAGCTTCAAAGGTGGGCCCGTGGGAGCCCCTTTCAGATCTGTGTGCCTCATGCACGTGATTTTGCTCCTGGGGGTCAGTTGTCTTTTTCCCATTCCTGGTATGCATTTACTTGGTGTACTGCTCAGTGCCTCAGTTTCACTTGTGAGCGTTTCTGTTGCCTTGCAGTGCTGAATCAGTGGCATCCTTGGGCCTGTATTTGGTACTTCTCAATGGGATTTTGAACCACTCATTCTGTGTTGACTGCATCAAGTGGTCCCTTGTTTGTTCCTGGCTGGTTTGGGCCCCCAGTCAGTCTTTGTCAACTGGCCAGAGATTCAGGTTTCCTGGGCTCAGGATCCTGGTGAACCAGTGAATGCTCTAGTTGGTTTCGTCCTATGTTCTGACTTGGCTGGACCTCATTTAAGGCTTTTGGTTGATTTCCCTCTATCTCCCTCTAGTAGTTTTTCTCAACCTACAGCCTTTGAGTTGGTATTGATTCAGACCAGGTAACTCGTTTGTTGGTTGAGCAGCTGTGTAGGAGCCTGAGCTTTGCCTGCATTGCCTTTCCTCTGGGCAGGGTTTGGCTCAAAGTGTTGTGCCAGTTTCTCTGGTTCTATCTGTTCCATCACTTCTGAGACTGGCAGGTTTGAGCCCTTCATGCCCTTTGATGGCTATTGCTTTGCACTGTTCCCCTTCAGTTTTTTTTGGGTTCAGTTCCATGGCATGAACCATGGGAGGGCACTTCGATCTGTTACTCTGTGGAGCTGGATGCTTTTTGTAAGTCGGTTTTTGGCTACATGGGGTTTGGTTCTCCCTGGGGTTCACATGTTGGGTGTGTCCATTGCTCTTGTGGATGGGTTGTCTTGTTTCCATCCCGTTTTCCAGGGAGTAAACCGTGCCTTCCTCTCTTCTATTACACGACTTGATAATGGTCCAGGATGGACCAAAATGTCATCGTTTCAACATTTTCTTAGTATTATTTTGTTTTGATTAGCTATTTAAAACCTTTTGTCTAATTGGATAAACTTGATAAGATATTTGGGATAAATAAAAGCTTTACTGTACAATTATATCATTGAGTAAGGGTAACGCCTTTGGCCACCTGAGTGTGGCCGCTGGCGTGTGGTGTTTGTCCTTATAACCTTTGTCATGTGGCTTTTTGAGCTACTATTAGTTTTGGCATCACCACCACCACCACCACCACCCACCACCACCACCCACCACCACCACTCACCACCACCCACCACCACCCACCACCATCTCACTTAAATTGTTACAACTGTTTACACCACTGTTTGCAAAATATAATTTTTAGATATGTTTTTGATACCATTGCTTTCTGTGCTTGAATCTGTGATCCCTTGTTTTAGATGTTGCAGGTTTTAAAAATTCCTTTGTTAACTCTATTAATGCCTATTACAATTTTGTACCGATATATCATATCTTTCTTCTAATGGCTCTTGCATGTTTGATGCCTTGAGTCATTCCTTGCAGCTATTGTTTTTTTTAGATCTAGAAGACAGTTGGTAGCATGTATGTGCTCCTTTTTTTTTTATTTTGTTTGTGCTTTATTAGGTATGGGCCCCATACAGCTGCTGTACCCTTGGCTGTGTGCCCAGCTTTCTCTGTCTTGTTTGTTTATACACCCAGTTATTATATTCATAGAATTCATTTTGTTGTTGACTAGGAGTAAATACTTGAAATTGAGAAAAAGCTTAACACCAACAAATTAGAAGATAAGAGATTAAGATCTGTTCTGTCTAGAGGTACACAAGTTGTCCTGCTGTGTATTGATTAGATATGTTATCAGTAGAGAGACGAGGGAGCTGGTTGTGTTGACCAGTTAGTGTTGGTGCTAGTGCAATTTTGTATACTGCCACTTGTTCCTTGGTGGCTCAAGTTATTAACTAATGAGCATCTGATAGTCTATGTAAACGTGTGGTAATGTTTTAGATATTGAGATATGGGTAAACAACCCTCTTGATACTTTCTCTCCTCACAGAAAATGCACTTATGATATCAAATTCTAAGAAGTTGTTTACATTTAGTTTATATTGATCATGCTGTCAGTGCCATCAGTCCCAGAAAAATCAACTTAAAACTAATCTGTTTTTTTCTCATTTGAACAGTGAAATTAGGTGCTCGTCAAAATCAAAAACATTTAATTTATCTACTTCATTATATAGTCATATTACTGAATTCTTTTACATTGGTTGCATTGTCATGTGAAGTGTACAATTTTTAGAGTATACTCGAGGAAAATACTATTGTCACAGCAGAAGAAATTGCAAACATATTTTCTTCATTAAATAATGTTTCTTGTCCATCTTTAATCAGCTGACAAAGGTAAAGGAACTTCCTTCTGTTGGAATAATGTATTAAATAAGACTTGTACAGTTGTTTAATGATAAAAAATACGGCTTAAAAAATGAAGCTGTGTGTGTAGATGAAAGCATCTTCATGAGCAAGTCGCTCAGTCACTACCTAAGGTTATGTCCCACTCACACATGGATGTAGTGAAGTACTACCTAGGTCAGTGCAAGGGAACACACACGGCCTCCTGAAATGAAAACTGTGGGGAATCCTCGATTCCCAACCGGAAGCAGATTGGCAGGAAACTGGGTGCCGAGGAGTGATCTACTGAACCATGCTAACCCCCAACCTGGGAAAGCACAGTGAGGGAGAAGACAACTGTAAATGCAAGCAGCTGTGGCAAAATGATTGGGGTCGGGTCTCTGTTGTATCCCTTGTTCCAAAGCTTGCCTTTTCCAGATCCTCTTCACGATGATTCAGTTCATCCAACTGCCGTTTGTCCTTTATTTTAGGATGGACATTTGTTTGCTGCTTTGATGACTTTCTCAATTGGGCATTTGGCACTTTGCTGCTGTTCTTTCCCAAGAGCTCTTTTGCCATTCTTCCTCCATGGGTAATCCTAGTCTGCCTTTTCTATTTCTGAGAAAAGCGGGCTTCCTTTATTGAGCAGCCAATATGAATAAGTTAAGGAAGTTATCTTCTTATCTTCTGGGCATCTTCCCAGAAATCTAGAATTGAATGTAATGAAACTATCTTTTCTGGTTGGATACCAGTAACTCCCCATTCCCTTCTTTCCCATGGGTTGTTAGGTTTTGTATGAATGGCTTGTGAGAGGAGGCAGGCTGGCTTGTGCTGCTCCAGGTGACCTGTGCTGCTATCTATTGGCAGTTGGGTGCATCACAGTTGTGGTATTTACCAAGCAGAAATCATCATTTTTTTGTTAACCAAGTAATAACTACAGTAATTCCCTTCAAGCCGTCACTCATTTGGTTGTGCCTAAGTTTTGTGGTTGATCTCTGATCCTCTTGCATCATAGCGAGCCATATTGGTCCTGGCTGTTGCTGGGACGAGGGGATGGGGAAGGATGGGTCTCGGAGGTTGGTGTGTTGTGTTAAAGGCTTTGTAGTACCGGAGATGAGCTTGGGTAGCTTCTGGGCATCTTCACAACAAAAGGGGATTTTATTACATTCAATTCTTGATATATTATAAAGCAGAGAATTAACATTGATTTATCTTTCAAGTATTTGGGGGCATAAGTAGTGGGCAGAATTTATCCACTAGTGTTACATTCACTGGCATGACACGTACACCTTCTCTTATTGTTTATCTTTTTAATGGCCTCATTTGCAGCGTGCTAGTCTAAAGATTATTTTAAATATATGGAATGGGACCAGTATGCAGTAGACCAGATGGTATTATGATCAATAATATGCAGTGTTCCTAATACCCACTTAACCTTCCACTTTGCACCATATATTTGTAAACCATACATATGCAAACTTAAGATAGAATTGGGGGGAGGGAGATTTGAATCTGTGCATAAAACAAAACTTGCAAAGAGGAAGACTATTGATGGTAGTAATATACTCTTGCCCTTTCAGTAGTTTGGTTCAAGCTTTTCATGAAAGATGAATTCCATATCTTCCTAACTGGGTGCTTTTGTTTGATAATTACTCCTCTTGAAAGACAGGAGACATGTATTAAAAATATGCTTCAATAATTTAGTGCGCAGTACATGCAGTACAGTACATTGCAAAAGATAGCATAATTAACCTTTATGTTCAGAGAAGAGAGAGGTGTGCATCTCAGCTTACCGTAATGAGTATGGTCAAGTCTAGCTCAGAGAGAGGTGAGTGTGTGTAGACTAACTCTAGTGAGCGAGGTGAAGCCTAGTTCACGTTGGCTAATATCTCACAGGTGTGGAGCATGGCAACACCTGCGACACTTGCTCACAACCGGTCACCCCTGCCAGTCGTGTCATACATTGCTTTGCCACCCTGGTGAGGGGATTTGTTTATAACTACCGTGTTATCACTATAGTGTATACGTATATATATATACAGTATATATATATATATATATATATATATATATATATATGTCGTACCTAGTAGCCAGAACGCACTTCTCAGCCTACTATGCAAGGCCCGATTTGCCTAATAAGCCAAGTTTTCATGAATTAATTGTTTTTCGACTACCTAACCTACCAGACCTAACCTAACTTTTTCGGCTACCTAACCAAACCTAACCTATAAAGATAGGTTAGGTTAGGTTAGGTAGGGTTGGTTAGGTTCGGTCATATATCTATGTTAATTTAACTTATATTAATTCAGGAAAACTTGGCTTATTAGGCAAATTTGGCCTTGCATAGTAGGCTGAGAGGTGCGTTCTGGCTACTAGGTACGACATATATATATATATATATATATATATATATATATATATATATATATATATATATATATATATATATATATACAGTATATATATATATATATATACAGTATATATATATATATATATATATATATATATATATATATATATATATATATATATATATATATATATAGTATATATATATATATATATATATATATATATATATATATATATATATATATATATATATATATATATATATATATATATATATATATATATATATATATATATATATATATATATATATATATATATATATATATATATATATATATATATATATATATATATATATATATATATATATATATATATATATATATATATATATATATATATATATATATATATATATATATATATATATATATATATATATATATATATATATATATATATATATATATATATATATATATATATATATATATATATATATATATATATATATATATATATATATATATATATATATATATATATATATATATATATATATATATATATATATATATATATATATATAATAAATAATGTAATTGTTTAGTTCTTTGAAAACCTGAAAATGTTAATTTGTTATATTTATTTTGATAAATTTGTTAACTTTTGCAGTACAAATTGTTATACAGCATTGAAAAATATCGACTTTTGTGCCTCAGGGATTTGGATTCACACGTGTAAAACAAAATTGTGTAAATTACTGTATGATATTTAATATTTGTTATGAGTGAATAATTTTTCTGTATGTGTGTGCGCTGTATATCAGTGAAGATATACATTGAACTTCTTGCTGGTGGCAAGATATACTTGGATCTACATTGAACTTCTTGCTGGTGGGCGATTGTTGGAAAACTCGTTAGTCTAATTTTTCTTTGTGACCTCGTCGAATCGTATCTGTATGTAGTGCACTTGCCTATATGTAGTGTGTGACAGTGTTAGCCTGTCACCCGCACTCATCCTGTACACCACTCTTGTATATTCTCCTAGCACTCCTGTCATCACACACTTCAAATATTTGTCATTTGTTGATACAATAAGGATTTTCTTAAGTTAATTTCAGAAGCCTGAATTTACATTTGTCATTCTATGTTAATTTTGCACTCCAATATGTTAGAACCACACAATCCTGTCACTGTGTGGAGTAGTCATATTTCTGGAGATCTCAGTCTTCCCTCAAGATGCACAACCCTTTTCTTCCGGAGGCAGTGGCAGCATTCTATTTGGCCTGCCTTGTATGTCGACAGGCCATGTTGGCCTGTTCATTAGATTCGGCTTGGTCTCTTACCCTTTTGTCCATCTCCCCTTTTTTTGCTCCTCTTCTTTCCTGAGGATGTCAGCAGATCTATTGTTCACAGCAGATTTCTCTTGCCACCCTGTCGATCATTTGTTGTTTTCTCAGGATTTTGCCCTTGCTTGGATGGGAACCTCGTCTGCTATTGGTTGAGTTAGATCCTCAGGTGGATCTGATTCCTGGGCCATTGTGCTTTCTGCTGCAAGTTCCTTTTCTGCTCAGTGTTGTAACTATACATCACAGAAAGATAGCTCTGCCCAAGATTCTCCAGATTCCAGACTGTGGTGGCTGGCTGGCCCAGTCTTGGTTTTTGGTGCTTCTTGCCCAGTATAGGAACCTGGGCACTTTCCTACTGCTTGACCTCTTTCAGCAGATCAGCTCTGTGAAGTACTGGTATTTTGCTGGTTTGGCTTTCTCCTCTGCTCTCCAGATGTGGGTCTGTTGCCATTTGTATCACAAGCATTTGATTGGTTTGTCGGATGTCCCACCTTCTGTCTTTCCTCGCAGTGGCAGTATGAGGCTGCCTGTCACTCATTTCGCCACTATCTGTCTCTGCGTTGTTTTTCTTCGGTTGTGGTGAGGGCCATCCTGTCCATTTTGTCTTTTTTCTTGATTGGCATCTCATGCCTAATACTGTCACCTCTTATCATCCGACTTTGGTGGAGCCGCTCTTGCTTGTTTGGTGTCTGCTCCTCAGTGCCGTTCTGCAAATTGTCTCGTGCATTTTTTCCACCTCTGGTCAACTTGTGTTCCTCCTGAGCTGTTCTGGACTTTTGACCAGCTTTTGTTTTTCTCTCCACCTTCGTTTATGGTTTATTTTTAGCTCATGAGTGTTTCTCCATAGGCTGTGTTTTTGTGTGCAGAATTTTGCTGCTGTATCGGCTTTCTTTGCAAATGTGTCCACAGAGGACATCTGGGCTCCAGGCTTTTGGATGTTCAACTAAGTGTTGGCCTCTAGATCATTGATGGATATCGCTTGGCTTTTCTGCCCTTGTGTGGTGTACGAGAATATCTATGTAATTTATAGTTAAGGAATGCTTTAAAAGTAAAATGAGAATTATTAAGCTACAAGAGGAAATTCGAATGAACTTCACACAACTACAGTACTGTACTGTATTTTGAATTTATGGGTTTAAGTCATTTAGATACTTGCATTAAATTACAGTATTTTAAATACTTGAGAGGACATAATATTGACATGGAATCAGTTATTACATGATTTCAACAGCTCTCTATACGAAGAGTAAAACCGAGGTGAACACCTCGCAACACGAGTGAGTGCCTCACAGAGCCGTCAACATGCACACCTCCATCTGCTACAAGATTCAACCCCGCTGCCTGAGGAGGGATGAGGTGCATGGGAACACTACACAAGGGGTAGGGAGGCTATAATGCTATACATATTATACACAACTCTTATGAACACTGGACACAACTACACTATTAGTCTCACATACACAATTTCTTAAAAGAAATACATTTAAACTACAGTATTCACTGACAGTTAAATATTAATAACAATAAGATGCTAGTCATTACATACGAGCTCCTAGTGCTCCCCTATTATGAATAATCTTTCTTAATTGAAGGTTAAGCAGGATTCTTCATAACTTAAGTGGTGCCCCTCCCCCCACCCCACCCCAAAAAAAAAATTGAAACAACAGAATTTGACAGTAAAAATTTAAACTTGAAATTAAGAAAATGTAGATTGAAACAAATGCAGAGACAATAAAACTAAAAACACAAACAACAAAAATGGCAAAAGAAAACATTGAATTCAAAAGTAAATACTGTACAGTAATTATGAAATAACATCACGTGTTTACAGGCAAACAAATACACAAGTAAATAACTCGAGGCAAGAGAATCATGAAAAGTAGCTGTATTCTAAGCTGTAACATTACAGTGGCACTTGGACATTTGGCATGGGGCTGTTTTGCCAAAGGTCCATCTCTCCTGCTGTCTTCTACCATGGATTTTATTGTCACTACTTCATAGTCACCATTTGCCTTCACCTGTGGTCAACATGTGCAAGATGTTAGCGCACACGTGCTCTGTAGATCAGTTGGTTTATACCTATTACATGCTCTACAGAGTTTTATGGTGTTTTTATTTAAGTTATATTTACTTGCAGATAAAGAGCCACCACCACCACTTCCAGAGAAGAAAGTCCAGCCTCCTCCACCTCCAGAGAAGAAGCCACCAGTCCAGTCCAATTCCATACCTGATGCTCATGACGGTAGTCCCACTCCCAGGGACCATACAGAGATTGGAATGCCAAAATTTTTAAAGAAATCTGTCCCAAAAGGTGATTTTTTAATCATGCTCATAAGTAATTTATTAGGTTTAAATATTTATATTTTTCCCTTTACCAGTATCTGGCAGTCTGGTCATTTTTATTTTTGGTCTTGAAGTTACATTTCACTGCGTTCTGTAATCAGTTAAGTCCCACCAAACACACAACAAAACTAATGTTGCTACAACTTTGGAACGAGGTTTAACATCTTCTAATAAATCTAATAACCAGTATATAGCAAGTGGTAACAACATTCTAATATGTCATAAAAACATTATAACAAGATGTAACAGCTTTATCACAAGTTGTAACAAGGGAATCATAGGGACTGCTACATTGTGCGTTTGCAGGGGTCACTCCTGTGAACCTGTGGTATTTCCTCTGGTCGTTTATTATACTGTTTTTTTGCACACTCGATAACATCTTGTAACTATACTTAGATAATTAAAAATGGAGCAACACATGGCAGATGGAATTCATTGTGGACAAATGCCATGTAATGAAATGTGGAATAGGAAAGAACAGGACATGTGCAGCCTACAGGTTGTGTGGAAAGATATTAAAGAACTCAAGACAAAGAAAGAGATCTGGGGTGGTTCTGGATAGTTCACTGTTGCCAGAGTACCACATTAAAGGCATTGGGAGAGGAGTCTATGTTATGCTAGCAAATGTCAGAATTACTTCTAAATTTATGGATTGAGTTGTACTAAAAAAATTGTTCATGACAAATTAGAATAAGCAGCAGTGATGTTGTGTAGATATCTCAAAATTCACATCAGTGAACTAGAAAGGGTGCAAACACATGCTTTTAAATGTCTTTAAGAACTGAACGACAAACATTGTGAAAAGATGCTAAGGCATTAAATGTGCCAAAGCTAGAATACAGAAGTAAGTGAACCGATATGATCACCATGTTAAAAATAGTGACAGGAATCGACAAAATAACAAGGAAGGATTCTTAAAACCTGCAACTTGAGCAAGAGACTATACGTTAGAGCTAAAGCAACAAAAGTTCAGAAAAAATATATGAAAGTTCTCTTATCTGAACAGCATTGTGGAGAGCTGGAACAGTTTAAGTGAGAAGGTGATGGATGCCAAAACTTTCAGCAGTTTCAAAGTGTCATACGGCAAGGATTATAGGAAAGATGGGACACCATGAGCTCAATCATCCTTTATCCATGCTTACACATACATGCATGCTTGCTCAGAGATTCTTTCTCTACATCTCTCTTATCTCTTTTTCTAGACAATATGTACAGAACTTTTTTAAACTGTAAGAGTCCCCAGTTGAATGATCCTGGGGAACGGGTGCAACAAAATTTTCAGCTTCATAAATACTTTATAGTTGTATAACTTTGCAGTATTTTATTTTTTATTTGCAGTTATATGTATATGAATTACTGTACAGTATAGAAATGTTTCTATTACAGAGAGCTCTGATAAATCGGACGAGTCTAGCTTAACTTTGGATACGGATGGAGAGAAGCTGAAGCATGTCACTCATCTCCGTCCCAAGGGTCCACCACGAAGACGACCACCTTCAGGCATATTCAAAGACAATGTATGTATGTCTGTTATCTTAGAGAACACACATTTTTATTATTATTATTATTATTGTTATTAGTTTATCAAAAGGCTAATCTTTGGTTATTATTTTGTCTGCACTCAATTGCGTATTATACAGTATTGAACTGTAAATGATTTTAATTTGTAATATGTTATTTCTTTTTAACTTTCCTAAACTACTGTTGATTACTATGTTGAAACAAATTACTGAGCATTGATTTTGTATATAGTGTGCAGTACAGTGTTCCTTCTTCTAATCTGGTTCTCGGTGATCTGGGTCTCGGCATCATAAGGGTGAAATTCAATGCCGTCTATGTTCAGTTCAGTCAGGACAGAACGAGTGATGTCTGTACTACCAGACTACTGTCAACACCAGATATCTCTTGATGTAAACATGTACAAACATTCAGTTGTACAATAATCAATAAGGCTAATTAATGTTTAGAAAATATTTAAAAGTTATTACTCATTACTGGGGATTTATGCTGACCCCAGTAATGCATTAGAGTATTTGTCTACAAACATAAAAAGAAGCAAAATTTGTATGTACAGTATGTTTAACTTTGAGAAGACTAGTGACTAGATAGTGATGGATGGATTGGTGACTCAAATCACCTTACATAATGCAGAGTGAGCAACACTATTTGTGTGTCTATGTATATAAAATTATATGAATATATAAGAATTAGACCACAGCATCAGGCTTACTGGTCTATTGTCAAAATGTATGATGTGGCAGGTACCATTTAAATGAACTGGTTTTCACATATATACCTTGTGTATACATTATGCTGACAAGGGTCTCAACTAAGTTCTCACATACACGCCACAGATGAAAATATTGTAAACAAAAATAAGGGAAAACCTGGAGACAAAAGGGGGTGACCATCAGGAACGGTAAACTTTATATAGCATTTCTCTATTCTGCATCATGCATCAAGTTGTAAACTTCCTAAGTGTTATGACATACTACTCAACAAAACAAATGGTGCAGACCAACAACAGGCCGCAGAGCACACTGTCCCTATTTATATTAACAAAACCCTGGTTAATAAAGAAAGAGCATTCTGAATTCCATAGCATATTGTTGTCATATTTTCACAACAAAAATTAAGAGAAGGCCGGAAGTTTAGCCAAGACACACACACACTGGTTGGAAAAAACAATTGCAGTCACACATGACTGAGGAGGAATATGCCTGAAGGTACACAGTGCCCAACATTAATCACTTATTCCCTAGGCTAAGGTAGCAGAGGGACTGCAACAATTGCTGCCCAGTGCTGGCAAATACGGTATTAACAAACTGGAAAAATAAACCACACTAAAACTTGACACACACGCACACACATACAAAGAGAATTATATGCATAAGCTTTGACCCATAGTGCAAGAAATTGTTTCATTATACATGTATAAACAAGCCACATAATTGAATGGAATTCTACACCCTTAAATAAGTGCCTCATTGTCTAAATTAATGATTAATACTTAATAATATTACTGAACCTGTATTTGAATTAGTAAATCATGAATAAATAATGACAAAACAAGATAGCCAATATTTTCTTGGCAGCCTCCCAGCTGATCAAAGCTGTGCACTTCACAATGTCATTATTTCCAGCTCCTAAGATACTAAGCACCCAGTAAATGCTAAACTGTACCCTTTGTCTTTTTGACATTTGAGTTTACTATTAAATGTGGTTAAATGTGAGTTATTTGATTGTAAAGTAGATGTCATTGTAAAATATTTGTGTAGTCTGGATCTCTATGTAGGCTAATTGTTTTTGGTCCAATTGAACTAGATTAGTAGGAGATCACTGTACAGTACTTGACTCACGACTGACACTGGCTTGCACCTGTTATGATGTATCTGTGTTCAGTTATGTCTATATTACGCACACGATACTAAATTAATTTTTTCTTAATTATATTTACGTTTAAAGTTTGCCAGATATTTAGTTTTATTATACTTTCCAGCATAGTGTAGTTATTGTAAATATTATTACTTCAATACATGTTATAATCATTTATTAGTTTCAGGTTCTGTTATTATTATATTTAAATAATCTACACAGCAGCATCAAGTTTAATACAATTAACAAGTAGTGTTTCCTAGTCATACATTGTATTTTTCAGATAATTTTGCCATAGTGAAGTACTGTATGTACAATGGAATGAGCAAGTCCCATGAAAACATGCAAACCCAATAATAAAAGGTGTTTAATGAAGCTCTACCAAAAAAATACTATTTGCAACTTAATGTACATAAATAACAAGTTTCTTTATTAAGAATACACATGACAACTTATCCTAACTAACCTTGCAAGTGGCTTGTAACCCGAGACACGTGAGGCTGTGCACACGTACCCATTACAGTCTTCAAAGTTGGCAAGAACAGTGAGAAAACAATAAACTAGCTCCTTGTTTCTTTCATTACCAAGTGAAGAACTGTTCTTCCTGGGAGAATATTTTTCAAATATAAAGAAACTCCCCCCCCCCCCTTTTTTTCACTCAAGGTGTCAGTTTGCTAAAGTAGATTGGCAGGCCAGTACCAGGTACTAGTGGTCAGCGACTTAGGTTGTAGACACTAGTACCAGGTGCTAATGGTCAGCAACTCGGGTTGTAGACACTAGTACCAGGTGCTAATGGTCAGCAACTCGGGTTGTAGACACTAGTACAGTACCATGTGCTAACAGTCAGCAACTCAGGTTGTCGACATTAGTACCAGGTACTAGCGGTCAGCAACTCGGGTTGTAGATGCTGTGGTCACTTCACTTAGATTTGGCAACATAAAATCAGTTATACAGTATGTAGTTTGAAGCAGTATTCCCAGAGGCAGCTTGTTGCACACACTTGCTTGCCTTTACCTAGACCACCACGTAAATTATCATTAACCAAAGTTGATTAACCAAATGCACCTATTTGATTAATGTTTTAAGTCCTGACTATTCCTGATAAATCACATAATTGTATTGATCAGCTTTTTTTTTATTTTAACCATATGTATTGAGGTTTGTCAATACAGTATAAATTTCTTAAGAAAAGCAAAAGACTGAGAATATTATTATATTCTTTGTTTTTGCATATAAATTACCATATTAAGAAAATTCTGAGTATTTCTCTGAGCTGCACTCTGGTAACTTGTCAAATGTTAAGCACCACACCAGGCTCTAATGTTGCACGAGTGAATAACAGAAACCAGTACCAGAATCTGGTACACTGAATAGAGGTAAAAGAGAGTCTGGGGATTTTGGATCACTACAGTAACTTTCCCTTTGGCTTCAGCCTCGCCGATCTTTTTCTGGCGAAGAATGAGACTTTGGCCTTTCAAAGGGATTCTTTTGTGATTGATGCTTGGATTCTCTGGCTGGAGACTCATCACACTTTGTCCTGTTGCTGCTGTTTGTCACTAGTACCTGTATGTCATTCAGTATGTTTGAAGGAATGCCCTCTTTGTTAGTCCTCTGTCCTTGAGCTGCTGCACCAGAGTTCAGTTATCTCAGGCAGTCTGGTGTGTGGTTAAATCAAGTCAGCAGGATGTGCTTCCCTTAGATTCATGATGTCTGCACTGCAAGTATGCAGCTTTGGCTGCCTTCTTTGGCAAGGTGTTGTTTGCTATATATTAACCATGATTGTGTGATAAATGATCAGTTGAATTGGTTCTGGGGAGATACCTAGGGGCCCCTCTCGGGAAAACAGTGTTAAATGTAATGAAGCGTCTATTTCTGGTGGGTTCCTTTGGTATTTTCCTGTTCCTGCCCTATATATCTTCCAAGACTTTAAGGGTCATGTGTGGGTGCAGTGCATGAATCGTGTGATTGGTGTCCCAGGTTCATGAGCAGATGAGGCTGCCATCTGGTGGCGATCATGTGGTACAAAACAGTAGTGTGGCCCATGGAATAATTGTTTCCACTGATTAAGCAGTATGAATATAATCTATGCAGTTATCTGTTTTGATGCACTCTTGTAGTCTTCTGCTAGTTTTCTAATGTTTTTTCTTTTGGTTTCTGTAGTGATCCTAAATTCCCAGACTCCCCTTTACTACTACTGAGGAAAGGGGAGTGGACCATATTCTGATATTGGTCTCCAGTAGGCATTCATGAATCCTTAGAACCCATTATGTACAAAAAGTTTGACAGGTTACTAAAATGTGGCGCGGGAAGATATTGAGAGAGATCTCACAGAAATTGTTTAATAATTTATACTGTAAACAAAAATGAGAATAATATGATACATTTGATTACATTCAACACTGGAATTTTTTAATGTTCAAGTGAATGATCAGGACAAAATCTCAGTTGTTTGCTTCAATAGTGCATGTGTAATACACAGTTTTAATGATGCAGTTAAATTTATTGTTAGTATTATATTGTTACCTTCAAACTGCAATTTTTTTATTTAAGACACTAAAATGACAAATATTTAATTTGATTTCAGGTTTTAAGTGATTAATTTTCAAATTATAAAATTTATTCATTCTGAAAAATATTCATAAAATATTTTCTTTATATATAATTTCAAGCAAGTAACTGTAAATAAAAATGTGTAATGAGATGCACTGCCGATGGTTGTAGGGGCGGACAGTGACGCCACTTAGTGATGCTCCCTTATGTGCTCTGTCAGCTGGTGGGGCGGTCTGGGCTTCACCTTGTATATCACCATGTCTTCCTCTCTCTCTTTCTCTCTCTGTGGCACAGATGAAAAACCAAAACACCGCAGATTCTGACCCCCAACTACCCCCCACACCCGAAGACGAAGTTGACAGTGTAAGTGTCCTCCCGTAGGCACACTCGCAAAGTGTTCCTCGGTGTTTTGTTAATGCTTATTTTTTATTAGATAAGTACAGTACCTGGAATGGTTTCCTCATTGCTACTGCTGCAGTTTCAATAAGGTATTTATAGTTGACTTGTATTGATTGCAGGCCGTTTTGCTCCCATTTATGTGAATGCTGGTCATCTTGGGTCACACTTGTAACAAGATGAACATATTGCATTCAGTTTTGTTATAATAATTTTATACTGGGGCAATAAAGTATGTCTACTCTGGTGATTGGGTCCAAAACATAACTTATATTGTGTTGGGGTCCTACAGTATGACTGCTTTATTGTATTGGGTCCTACAGTATGAATGCTCTATTGTGTTGGGGTCCTACAGTATGACTGCTTTATTGTATTGGGTCCTACAGTATGACTGCTCTATTGTGTTGGGGTCCTACAGTATGACTGCTCTATTGTGTTGAGGTCCTACAATATGTCTGCTCTTTTCTGCTTAGATCCTAAATTATGACTTCTTTATTTTGTTTGTATCCTGGAGAATCTGCTCAATTATGTTTGTATCCTAAAAGATTGTATTAAGATCTTAAAATATTTCTACACTCTTTTGATGGATGGGATTACTAATGTATAGTACTCTAAAGTACTATAATGTGTTGAGGTTCTTAAAGTAAATCTATTTTATTGTGTTGAGTGTCACCAATATGCATGCTGTATTGTTGGACTACTAATGTATATTCTATTGTGTTTTAGTCCTTCAGTATGCTTGCTTAGGTGTGTTGACTTCCTAAAGTACGTCTGCCTTAAAGCGTCTTGTTAAATTTGTGTTATATTTTACAATTGTAATTGATGTGCTTTGGACATGGTTCATGTAGAATTCTATAGGTACAGTACAGTATAAATATGTAATGCACTATCCAGTATCTATGAAGAAGGATAATAGCATGTGTTTCTAATGACTGGTATAGCCAAGCTAATTTTATTTGAATCAATTTAATCGGAAATAAATAGGTGAATGTCTACGTATTCTTGTGCAGTAATTATCTTTGATTAGTTTGTTGTTTGTAGATATTAATATAAATCTAGGAGAGAGTCAGCATTGTAGTAGAAATGTGTTGAATTTAACACATACTTTCAGTGAGCTTTATAATGCATTATGATTCAGTTGAGAGGTGAGATTTAAAACAGCGCTTTGTTCTTATTATGTCATTGATAAGATAAGACTGATGTTAGTCACAAGCATTTAGTTACTTGTGTGGGAGTGCAGGGAGACACACCATGACGGAAGTGTGTGCTTTGTTTATGCTTACGGTCCACGCTTGTTGCCATTAATTTATCATCATCTGCCTCTCTAGAAAACAACTCAACATGAAGAGAACAAGACCACATACATTACACATCTTCCTGGATGTAGGTTTCTTACATTTGTAATTTGTGTACATATGTTGTGTATTATATTTGTTGTAGTATAGTAGTTAGTGTGGGCCGTTTACAACCATAGGGCACTGAGTTTAATTCTCAGGTAGCACTGTACAAAAAGTTGCATTGCATTACACTAAACACATTATGATTTTAATATTTAAAAAGAATACTGGAATAGATGAACAGGGTTACATTCTTCAGTTGTCATAATTTAATTGAACCATATCTAGTTATTGTCGTAGACAATGTGAAGTACTCGTGAACATTCAGTACCCTGTCATAAGTAGCAAGTCACTAGCCAAGTGAAGTAGAGTACAGTGTGTTCCTGTACCTGATATAATCTTATCTTTGGTATCAGGTGCACATTTTGCAATGTTTTGTGGGACTGACAAACATGACACCAAAGACACTGTACTGGCATTTGGTTCATCATATTTCTGGCTTAGCATTGGTGGCATGTATACTGACCAGATGAAAATGAAATGAGATTATTTGTTTAGCAGTTTTTGCCAAAGTTGGAGTTGGATGACACAGTACAATAGGGAATGTGTTAGGTGATGCAATTGGTGTACCAGACCCGTGTTGATTTTATAAGGCAGTGGATTATTTAGCTGAGGCGTTGGGATTACCAGGAAGTTTACAAGTCTTCAAAAGAAGATTTGTTGTAAAAAATGCAAATCATTTTATACACAGATGAATTTGAATTGGATTCTGAGGAAAGGAGGATGTTATTGTGATAAGCAGTACTAGGAACCACATGCCATATCCAACTACATCACTTGTTATTTTGTTTTACAATTTTTAATAATTTTAAGCGGAGGTTCTATCCGGGCTTGGTAAGTCTTTGATCAGTTATTCTGGCGTCCCACTGTATTGTTACTGTAGTAAGTTTGTGATATTGTATTTTTCTATATTTTCTGTTATTCATGTACATTTTCCCATATACATAAGAGTACAGTATATATGGTGCAAGAGGGATGGGGCAGCAGTGATGAGAAAGATAGGAATGAGAAGAGCAAAACAGTAATAAAAAGAGAGATGGGATGAGAAGAAGAGGGAATGGAGTAAGGGAGAGATAGACTGGAGGAGAGGAGAGGGGAACGAGAGAGAGAGTGAGAAACAATGAGAGATAATAGAAATAAAGACACATTTTTTGGTGTAAAATCTCTTAAAATTCATTGCTTACACTGTGAAGTATGTTGGGACAGGAAACTGGAGATACCTCTTTCATTTATACTTTGTGACTGACCCTAATCTAGCTGTATGGTGGAGCTCCCAGTGGCTCCCTAAAGCTATCTTGCCAAGATTGCTCCATGCTAATGGGTCATATCAGTCACAGAAATTTTGTTTGGCCTACCTGGGACTAGAGCCAGAACCTGGCCTTTCCCTTGACAGAGGTGCAGGCAGCGATTGACAAGTCACCACCCGACTGGGAAAGCATCCATAAAGTCAGCAAAGTTTTACAGACCCTGGAGGGCTCATAGAAAATGAAGCCATGAAACGGCAAAAAACTTTGCAAATGATTCGCATAGAACAAGGGATTTACTCAAACGAGCGTGAAACTCATTGATACCGATCACCAGCATCAGGCGGCCCAGCCCCAACCCTCAGCCGACTTCCCTACTCAATTCTGTCAATTCTGTTGCTGATGTTATGTTGACGACTGCTACCTGTAGTAGTGCTGTCTGCCAATTGTGGGCAAGCCCCTCTGCTTCAAGCTAAGTGCTGGCCATCCATGGACTTCGTTCGTCTTGCAGGGGCCATTTGCTTGTTCCTTTATTTTAGTATTAACTTCACATGAATGTTTATGCTCTAGCTAGTTGTGTGGGCTTAGCTTTTCTTGTGCTTTGTGCTGCATGTGTTTAGGGTTTTCTTCCCTGGGTGCCTGCTAGCACTGCTCTTGTACTGACAGTTATCTTCTGTGTGTTTGGAAGTTTGACCCCCGAGAGGCCAGACCACTGGGTTGGAGAGCCTTGCCTTATATTGTTCAAGTGTCTTAGACTCCTCTGTTTGGACTCTTGGCAGGGGGCATTCAATTGGTTGTTCTGGGGCACACTGAGGTTTGCATGCTTGTTTATATGGTGTGCTGCAGTCATCATTCATAGTCTGATTGTGACAGCTGCATTTGTTGTTTGCTTTTCTGGTTAGCAGCCCCAGTGCCTGGGGTTCCTGCTCAGTTAGCAGCTTTCTGACCCTGGTAATTGTCATGGATCTCTAGCATGGTTCGTTATGAATTAGCCCATCGAGCCAGCCGAGTGTGCGCTTCATGGGTGTTCATCGTTGCTACCTGATGATCATTCTTTCTGCCTCTCCCATGCTGCCTGCTGGATTGGTGAACTCTATGACCCAGAGTTCTGTGAAGTTTGTTCTCACAATGTGTTTGCCCTTACTGATTTGGCTTCAGGTTTGGAAACTTTTCAGGCAGCTGCTGCTTTGCAGGCTAGGTTTGCTAGAATTAGGGATCTCGGCATATTGATCATCTGAACACCCTGGAGTAAAGTAAGTAAACACCCTATGGTGTTTAGTGAACTGAAATTGGAAGTGTTTATGACCACCTGGACTAAGTCCATGCCTCCTTTTCCTTTCCCTGGGAGGTATGGTTTGTCCTGCCTCTTGTCTTTCCCTACAGTTCTGAAGTATTCGATGGTTTTGGAGTTGGGTTGTGGGTTTAACTCGGGGTGTAGCTCGGCCTTCTCTTGGCGTGGTCAAATCCTCTTTTATGACTGAGGTAGCTAAGCGTTTTGGCCCTTCCAGGGTTTTGGGGCATTCGCCTTCACAACTGATTTTTCTCTTTACCCACACTCCAGATCTTCTCCGTGGGAGGATGCCTTTCTATACGCATCACAGGTGTTAGGAGCTTACTATGTCTCTGCCCTGGAGCCTTCATAACAGACTCAAATTCATAGCATTACCAAATTTAGGTACTGCCATGAGGATTCTTTGCATTCAGGAAACTTATGCATGCCTTGGTTTACTTTTCCTATCTTTAATCATGACATGTAGTTTGTTTTGCTACTTTTATACGTTTTGGGCAGTTTTTGTGTTTTTGGTTAATCTCTGATCCCCATGTCTGGAGCCACTTGGGCTGGACGGTAGAGCGACAGTCTCGCTTCATGCAGGTCGGCATTCAATCCCCGACCATCCAAATGGTCAGGCACCATTTCTTTCCCCCCATCCCATTCCAAATCCTTAACCTGACCCCTTCTAAGTGCTATATTGTCGTAATGGCCTGATGATTGCCTGATGATTCCCTCCCTCCCAGAGGACCTGGTGGTGGTATAGGCATGTGTGTCGAACTCGAGCCCAAAACACCAGGAAGATACTAAGGCCTCCCAGCAAGAACATTTCATTACCTTTCAACTCGTGATTATTATTTTTGTCTCTGTATTTTACTATTTATGATATCTTTTTGTATTGTGTTGTCTTGTGTAGTTATGTACTAATGTTTGGTTGCCAATACTGTACTTTATTCGTGTTGATTGTTTTATAGATGCATGCTTGTTGATTTTCTTGCTTATTATCTAATATTTTTGGTACCTCTATTTGTCATCTATCAGTAGACTATCTTAAATTTTATCCTTTTCATTTTCTCATTGTATAATATTCTAACCCGTCCTCTTAAAATTACGTCGCTTTTTGCTCGTTTGCCTGTATAGCCAAAAATGGACGTATTTTGAAATGAAATTAGCTTACTAAAGTGATGTACTGAACTGTTTTCTGTTTTGAGTCCTCAAGGCTTACTCGGTTAGGTTAGGAGAGGAAACTTTCAATTAACGGTTTTCATGACGTTTTGAAATGTTAGGAGAATTTCCTGCCCTCCTAACCTACCAGAGGACCCTTAACTTACTGTTTTGGAAAACAAAAATCCAAAATTTATTTACAAATATTTTTCATTTTGAAGTTACGTCCATTTTCCGCCATACGGGCACACGGCTAAATTCAGACGTAATTTGTAAGAGGACAGGTTGAATATTCAGCACTGTATGTGAGATTGCTTTTTCTTCTTTGGTTTTATATATTTTCTGCATTACATAGACGACACTAATATATGTTTATTTTGAGACTATTCTGCTTTTATATGGACATTGTAAATACAGATTTCTTATTGTATTGTAACTGTACATTTTCTCTATTGTGAAACTAGTTAAACTGCTTGCTTATTTTGTAGTTATAATTTTGTCATTGTTGGGACACATACAAAATTTTCTGGAAAGGTCTCCTCTTCAGTAGCTCCTGAGCTTTATCACTAGCACTGCAAAGCCTTAGTAAGGCCTCTGAGACCCTCCCTTCTCTACTGGGAGCCGGCAGTGTCTGCTGCTTAAATGATAGGGAGGGACCTTGATCCCAGATTATTCAAAAACAGGAAAACTACAAGAAAGGATAGCTGCAACAAAACAAGGGACCACTTTAAGTAAATCAGTAAACCTGACGTAAATCAGGCAAATGGTCATTACTGTGAGGTAAATATCATTATCATAATGTTATGGATCATCACCAGATGGTTGCCTAGATTGGAGTTTCAATGTGCTGTTGCCTCCCTCACTTGTCTGGTCACTGTACAAGAAGCATGCTTCTGACTGGGCTAATCCTCTGCTTTGAACTTTAAGCCAACACTACTTGGTTTAAAGTTTGAGTGTTGACCTATCCCAAAGACAGTAGTTCTGCTGGAAGCCATTGCTTTTACAGTGTTCATTTCTCCTTCATAACTATGTCAAACCATACCTTAAGATTCTGATTAAACCAGGTCTCTGAGACTTGTTCTAATCTATCAGAAAGCAAGACCAGAATCTGCCCCTTCAAAGAGGCAAGGGGAGCTGAGGATCAAAGATTAACCACAAACTCAAGAGTAAATACCAGCAGCAAGCATACGTGCTACAATCAGCTGCAAGACGTAAAGCAAGTACTGGCTGGTAATGAAGCTACCACCAGTACCACAATGTAAATAGATACTGTGTAACAATCATCTTGTACACACCTTCCACCAGATGGTCCCTGCCAGCTTACATTGTCAGTCAGAAGCGAGTCTTGCAAAAAAAATCTGCCACCCCCACAGATAAGAAGAGAACTGGGCAGGGACAGGGTGCTACCTTGGATCCCACCCAGAAAAGGGCATTCAGTGCTTGATTTCTGGGAGGAAAACCTGTAGTTTCTGGCCCCAAAACTAACTCGGTGGTGCCTTAGTAGTGAAGGCCAGCATTCATGAAAAGTAACAATTTAGTGAAATAAAAAAATTGCGGTTAAAGTTTGCCATGTCAAGAGAGGAAGGGCCTAGCTCAGACGAACCTCAAGAGTGCATCAAATGCGCAAGCACAACACGGGCACAGTAAAGCCAAGAGCTTTCTGGGCTGTGTGCATATCAGTTCCTGGGCTTGGTGATTCCTGGTCATTCAGGGATTTTTACCGCCTTTCAGGTGATGTGCCTCGTAATTTTTGGCAGTTTGTCTTCAGGATTGTTCCATTTTTTGTTTACAAGTGTAAACAAAATAAAAAATATGGTCAGAAATGACCAATGTTTGGTCATTTGTGACCATATTTTCAGTCCTTGGGTCTGGTGTTTTGGGCCCCCTGTGTTTACATCTCCATTATTTTTTTTTTTTTTTTTTTTTTTTTTTTTTTTTTTTTTTTTTTTTTTTTTTTTTTTTTTTTTTTTTTTTTTTTTTAGTCTTCTCTCATGGGGTCAGTTTTACTACCTCGTTCCTCGTGGGGCTGAGGATTTCTGTTTGGGGAGTTTGAGTGAGGTGGCAGGCTGGTTAGGGCCTGTAGGCTTCTGAGCCACCATTTGGTAGGAGTTGGGTGCATCTCAGGGAAGATATTTACTGCTCGGCAATGATCATTTGCCATGTTTACCTCATGGTTATTAATTTACTTCAAACAATCTCTATTTGTTTTTGTTCCGTTTTTCCTTTCTTGAGGAGTTTCGTCAATTTTCAGTCAATCTCTGATACCCAGGTCTCCCTCATATCGAAGTGAGAGCCAGATTCTGGTGTTGACTCTTGATAGACAAGGATTGATAAAGATTAAGCCACCCAAGAGGTGGCACGGGCATGAGTAGCCTGTAAGGTAGATAAAGGCAGGTCTCGGGGTCTGACAAAATTCATATGGCTTGGGAGTGCCAGTACTTAAGCTTGGACAGCTAATGAGGGCCCACCAGAAGAGGCCTTTGACTTTTACCATTTTAATTGTTCATTTTTTTGTGTTAAATATTTATAAATTTTTGGCCTTAAAATGGAGGATTGTATATTTTGTTGTTGTTGTACAGATGGACATAAATAATAACACATTGCTTTCTTTGTTGCTTCTCCAGGACACAGCTCCGCAGACCAATGGTCACCTCGGTGTGACTGAACCTGCCCGGAGTCCCAGTGTTTCCTTAGCTTCACCAACCAGTTCAAAAGCCACAGTTGAGTTACGATCCCGTCCTGAGCCACTGCCAAGACCTGAATCAACAAATTCAGTTCCGTGGCTACAAGAACTTCGACAAAATCAAAAACAAAAGAAGAGACTGTCTGGTATACTTCTCCCTGGTCAGTATCTGTTTCTCCCTGGTTTATATTTGATCATTGACACTGACTACCGTCTTACAGTGTTGTAGAGACCCAACCATTAGTTTAGACTATGTTGGATTATTGCAGTATAAAATTGGCCATTGTGATTAGTTACTCTGTTGGATTATTGTAAATTATTGCCCCTTGGTTTATAATTAATGAGCAGCACAGCAGGCCTACTGGCCTATACTAGGTAGATACCATGAGGATAATTTCTGGCTTTGTTAAGTTTATATTTTTTTTCTTTCCTCAAGGTGTGCATTCACTTTCTCAAGGTCCCCATATGCCCTCTATTACCTGGCTAATACCACTTGCCCTTGACATTTTAAGGGTGAATTGTTGTTATCTGAAATTGTTTGGCCTACCTTCTGTGCTGGTAGGCTATTTGATTGTGCTCTTTAAAAGTAAGGTCTTCCAGCATAATTACTCCCAAATGGTGGGAGCTGTCTCACTGGCTTGGCTGTGACTGAAGTGCTGCTTAGCCTGTGATTCCAGGTGTTCCTTTGCCTTCATATCTTGACCTGCACTGTGGTGACCATTTTCTGGGGCTTGGGGCCGAGTTTCTGGTACCCGAGGTTTCTGCCTGTTGATTACCTGGCATCTGGGGATTTTTATTTCGACCATCGTCTGTTGGTCTCCTCAATCCTTTACCAAAGTCTCTCATTAGTGTTTCCCACTATAGCTCATGTTCAGGCTTGGAGCTTGTTTTGGGTGGTCCTCCTAGGTGTTGGCCTTAAATGTGCTTAAATGTGCAAAAGTTGAATTTTAGTCACACTAATTGATGTGTAGTAGTACATTCAGAATTGTATAAAACATACTGTATAAAAACACCCACAGTGACTTGTGTTGTATACATAATGTAAGTATTGTATTTACAAGGTTAGAATCATGTGGTTTAGTTTTAGTTAGCTTTATTATGTACAAACTTATCATTCTATACTTAGCAAGGCATGGGAACTAGCTAAGTAATTTAAATCATGAAGTGCTTCATTGATAATGCCTCTGGCAAGCTATTTGCAATATTATAACAATATTGTGTTTACAGAAGGTGAAGGTGCCCCTGCTCCAGCACCTGTAATGTCTTCCAAGCCTGCAATGTTACCTCAGAAACTAGAAGACAAACCTGCTGCCAAACCTCCAAAGCCCTCTATGGGCTCGTCTGATGCGCCTGCTGCCACTACTAGGTCCAAGCCAACAGAAGCTCCTCGTCTGCCAACACCAGATTATGATCACAAACCTCTTGTATCCCAGTTTCCTACTTCTAAAAATAAACCACTGCCTGCCACACCCTTAGGTGTTACGTCCATGGAAAACAAGAGATTGATAACCAACACTGATACACGAATATCAGTGACACTGTCTCCAGAAAACAAGAAGCCTTCCTCTACCATAGATACTAAAGATAACAAGATGTCAACTTCAGACAGTGGAAATTATGTAGAAGAAAAAATAGACGCTTTATATAAAGAGCTACTTCCTAAAGTAAGTATAATGTTTCAATTTCATTTTTTAGCCATTTGAAACAAAAATACTTGGAAACCCATTAATTGATATGATAATCTTTGCTTCAACTTACATGAACGTTACCTACAGATTCTTTACTGATACCTATATACAAATTTTATGATTTTATATTTTTATCCTAATAGCCTTATTGACTAGGCATCCAAGCATTTTCTATTGCTTATTTCTGTAAAAGTTCTTTGATATTTCTTCACCTCTGCCACATTTCATGATGTATACTATTCATGGTTTAAACCGGGCAAAATTTCTAATTTGCTGTTTGTTAGAGGCTTACGTGACTTGTAAGAATCTTCTAACATAGAACATTTTATCTTTATTTTATCATTTGTGTTGAAATTTGACTATATACAGAACTTCATATACATCTGAAGATCTAGTACATAATGTACTTGCATTTGTTGCATTTGAAAATTAACTAAAATTTTATCATCTTAATGTCATTCACAGATTAAAGCATTAGAAGATCGCTTAGAGGATCAACGAAAGGAACAAGCTCGACGAATGCAATCACTCATGCATGAATTAGATGAGGAACGTAAAAAGCGTGCTTGCATGGAAGTTGAAATGGAAAGATTGCGGAAGCTTGTAGATGCATATGCTCAAGTTTAGGTGTGAAATGTTGAGCACTTGTACTTTAATGTAATTCTTACCTAGAATTAATGAGAGTATACTACACATACTGTAATGACATCTGCCTTTGCTGAGGCACTCATAATTTGGACACTGACATGATCTGTTTTAGGATTCTGGGTCTTCCTTATAACCTGGACAATATCTTTCCTGCTCTTAAATGGCAGGCGTTGATTATACCTGGAACCCACTGTGTCGGGTTTACGGTCCATGTGTGTGTGTGTAACCCTTTATTTCTTAGTGAAAAGAAGATTTTTAAGTATATGATATGTGAAATTGCTAAAATTATGGTTATGTAAGAACATTGTGCAGTATGCGAGACCGTGTGGTGTAAAATAGTATACAAATAAGTAAATTGTCACTGCCTGCATGTGTTTCTGTGGTCTGATGAATGCTATATAGTCATTTGTGAATGAATTGGGTTGTTGATCTTATGAAAACTTTCTTAATTTGATACTACTGAATGTGAGAAGTGTGGTAGCAGACATTCTGCTGTCACTTGTTTGTCTGTTGTCAGTAATGCAGTATCCTGTGCTGTGTAACTCGTGCGTGTTTTCAGACTAGCGCATAATTGCTACAGTAAAAAATAATTTTCTATTGAACCAAAAATGATTGATGTATGAATTGAGGATGCATGATAGATCTCATAGGAGTGAAGTAGAAGAAATTTTTCAAACTAAGCTATCACATTTTGAAAGTGGGTGCTTTGGAGGCTGCAGTAAGCTGATTTGCAGGTATACGTGCCATGATATCATACAGATTTTGAGAGTTGCTCCTTGTACAGTAGTCACTAGTGATGGGAACCGAATTAGATCTACAGAATACCTCCAGATAGTGTCAATAACAGACTTTTACTGAATTCCGAGTAATTTATTTTTAATGGCATCTTTACTTATCACGTGAAGAATGGACAGGTACTAATTTTGGAGTATGTAATACAGTAGTACAATAGTATAAATTACTTTTAATGCAACAGTATTTAGAATCATCCAGGTTGGCAAAATAGTACAGATTGTACAGCCAGATGTATACACATGAATGGCAATAATGTACAGATTTGCTTCATGTCAAGTACAAAGCTAATTATTTTAATGTGCTTGTTTGCATGAAACTTATTTTGGAAAAAAAAGAAAAAAAATGTGAAGAGAAATATACAGTACATGCATAATAATTTTTAATAAATTAAATTTTTCAAACTAATTTCCTAGAAAACAAGATAACTTTTCTTCAGTTATACTTCCTTGCCAAGGTATATATTGGCATTGATGACAGCCAGACAAAAATTATTGATATAAATACTTTACAAAGGATATAAAACAATGGTACGTTTGCCGTTTTTAATGCTGTAGGTGCTTGAGTAATTTGTCCGCACAGTATTATATGTTTCACATAAACCATAAATTCTAAAAATATCAAAACTAAATGCTTCGGTGGGTAAACATATCACGTGTGTTTAGTTGACATGCCGTACCTGGATGTGAGCTAGTTGAGTAAGTTTATAGGGAGGATACTGTACATTGCATTTTTCTAATATACGATCTAGGGACATGATTTTTATAAATATAGGACATTAAGAGATTTGTACAGTCAAATGTTGTACTTAAAGTGACAGTAATAGTAAGTAGAGGAAACTTGCTGAAAACTGCCATTTGCATCTGGTTATTAGTAATATATTTTTCTTTATTTGATATGTATATTATTTATCTTTGTACTGTTATCTGTGCTATCTAAGAATGCCTCACATTTTACATGTATATATGCACCAAATAATTTTCTTTGATAAATTATGACAGGAATTATTTGTATATGTTGAGAGTAAAGTTTTTCAACATAAAGACTATTGTATGCTGTTACTGTATGTACTTGAATGGCCATCAGTGTTTTGTGCCATGCATATGTTTTGTTGCCTTCATTATTAATGCAACATTTAATGCTGCTGCCTCAAAATACAGAGCTTTCAAGCCTTGTCAAATTTCCAGCAGTAGCCTAACGGCTTCAGCTGTGACCATTTATTTTTGTATCACTTTCTTTTCTATGGGCTGGATTACTTTTGCTTAATGATATGTTCAGAGCATATCTATTAAAATATGCTAAACACAGCATGCATTAATATATATATATATATATATATATGTCGTACCTAGTAGCCAGAACGCACTTCTCAGCCTACTATGCAAGGCCCGATTTGCCTAATAAGCCAAGTTTTCATGAATAAATTGTTTTTCGACTACCTAACCTAACCTAACTTTTTCGGCTACCTAACCTAACCTAACCTATAAAGATAGGTTAGGTTAGGTAGGGTTGGTTAGGTTCGGTCATATATCTACATTAATTTTAACTCCAATAAAAAAAATTGACCTCATACATAATGAAATGGGTAGCTTTATCATTTCATAAGAAAAAAAATTGAGAAAATATATTAATTCAGGAAAACTTAGCTTATTAGGCAAATCGGGCCTTGCATAGTAGGCTGAGAAGTGCGTTCTGGCTACTAGGTACGACATATATATATATATATATATATATATATATATATATATATATATATATATATATATATATATATATATATATATATATATATATATATATATATATATATATATATATATATATATATATATATATATAAAATATTACGACCCTTGGGAGGTGGGCGTCCCGGTCCCACACCTACGGGTTCCAGAGAGATTGTCACAGCCCCTTTTCACCCGAGGCCGGTCTCCTTCAAGACCAAGCAGAAGGAAGAGTGATAATTATTAATTATTTATATTATTATTATAATAATTATTATAATAATAATTGTTGTATTTAATGATTATCACTCTTCCTTCTGCTTGGTCTTGAAGGAGGCCGGCCTCGGGTGAAAAGGGGCTGTGACAATCTCTGTCTGGAACCCGTAGGTGTGGGACCAGGACGTCCATCTTCCGAGGATTGTGCTGCCCAGGCTCTGCTTCAGGAGGCTGAGGTCATTCATACCCTTGATGGGGTGGTCCTTCTATGGCCCTGACTATGGCGGTCTCCGGGTTTGGAGTCCCTGTGCCTTTTTTCACAAAACATCGAGGTCATCCCCGGAACTCTCAGTTCTGGAACCAATCGTATTGCCGTTTGCCTTTCCATTGGAGACTTTCGGCGCCGTGGAGAGGAGTGACCTCCTGCCTAGGTAACAGGTTTTTCTCCGTATCAACCATCAACCTACCCTGGCTTTGCACCTGGTGAGGCCACTCCAGACCAACAACCAGAATGCAATACCATAGTCTCCCGAGACTGATGGATGCCTTTTATATATATATAAATTTCAATTTAAAATATATATATACACACACAGACACACACACTAATTACATATATCCTGACACGCACTCACTGATGTTCATGATCATCCACTGCAACATGATGTAACACCAATGACACTTACCAAGCACTGTGTTACCAGCTTTTTTCATTCTAAATTTTATTTTTTTCCTTTCAGTTGAACTGAGTAAAATTGTCATTCTATTATATTTGCTATCGAATAATGAATGTACAATACTTTTATGTTGATTTTAACTTAAAAATCCAATATATGTTAGTTATAAAATTCATAAAAATGTATAGACTTCCAGTTTATATATTATGTAGTCTTACAAATTATTTGTTAAATCTCCACATACTTAGGTACAGTAATTTTGTTTAATAATAGTGTTGATATTTTTTATGCAAAGTCAGGCTATAAGTAATCATTATATTTTGCAGTTGTAAGAATGTAGTTGTGATGCAGTCTTCAAGTACAAGTGATTATTCATTCCTAATAAAGCTACATCATTTGTACTTAAATATAAATAATGGTACTATCATGTCATAATGTAGCAGTAGGTCAGTAATTATGAAGAGGTGTTCTTTATTGATGACATACACAGTGTATAAGAGAATATTAAGGTCGACAACCATTCTCTACAGAATTCAACTAAATGTTCAAACAGATAACATTCCAATATACTGTACTAGGAGTTTATCTTGCCAATTGGATTAAAGTCCATAGGAAAACCAAATGAGGTCTTAGAATGGAAAATAGAAAATATTTAGTTATTCTAGTCACAGGATGTCAAAAAATAACAAAAAAAACAAAAAGATGCAGTACAGATAATTGTACTATGTATTTTTTCTTTAAATGTTTTAAATATTATTTCTAAGCTTTGTTTCATATGTAATTATATGTTTAAAATGCATAGTATATTGGAATATCATTTCGGTATATTTTCTTGCCTCGTGAATATTTGTTGGCAGTTATCACCGAGAATCTTTTTACCACATAATGTAAATTTTCATATATTTTAGGAACTCTTAAGTATTTTATCATCATTATATTTTCTTGTGCACAATCATACTTTCTATTTTATTTAACACTAGTCAGTGTGTAAATAAATGTCAAGCCTGTTTTAAAGAGTATCTCTCTTATATATCATTTATGCTTTTTATAAAAACCTCAAAGCAGTACATTTTAAAAGGCATTGTCTCAAGAAGGAATCTGGCCCAGCTTCCCAGTGAACACAATACATTTCCTTGAGATGTCTTCTATGTTACAATGAAAAAATAATCTGGTTGCTTTGCTTTGGTCTGCTTCAAAATCGTCTTCTATGTCGTCTTCCTGGTTTGATTTCTCGTCTTCATGTTGCGGATGTCATCAGGTTACTACTTCTGTAATGCGAAGTAGACGAGTTCCGGGTTCAGTGATGCAAGGTCCCAGCAGTTGTGTATGTCTCTGCTTCGATGTGCCAGTATCAGGGCCACTCAGGCTTTTCCAGCTTCAATTCTGTCTGATACTGCTAAGCCAAGGTAAGTTGAAGTATTTCCTATGGGGGGGTAGTCTTTACTGAATGGGTCCGTGATGAAGGTGAGGTCGTAGCTATCTTGGTCCTGGTCAGGTTCTTCTGATATAAGTGCCGCATCAGAGGTTATGCAGGAAACACTGATGTTTACTGTATCGTCAAAGTCCGTCGAAGTAAAGGATTCATCAAGGATAACAGTACTGCAGTTAAAGATGTGATGGTGACTGGTGGTTCCGTGATGGGAGTTGCAAGGTCAGCTATAGGATTGTAAGGTTCTTCAGGAATTGTAAGAGTTGGAGCCCTTGCAGGAGCAGAAAGGTTTAGGGTCAATGTTGCAGGACTGGGAGGTGTGGCAGTATCAGGTGATGGTGGAGGCAACAGTGCAGGGGTGGAAAGTATCATTGCAAGAGTAGGGAGAAGGTTGTCAGGTACCGCAATAGGCAGTAGTCCAATTGCAGTGAGTAGCCTGTTTTTATGGTTTGCACAAACAGGTTGAGAAAAGGCAGAGTTTAATGTTTTAGATATTTATTTAGTATAGTCTTGGTTACACCAGGCAGTTTGTTGGTAATGTAGTGGTGTTGTAGTAGCTGAGACGAAGTTTAGAGAAGAGCAGAGAGCTTGAGCGAGGCCAAGAGTTGAGAGCTCAGATGCGGGGAGAGTGTGTAAGTAAGTAATTATCAAAAGAAGGCACCAAACCGGGAAGGCTATGTAGCACCATCAAATACGCAAAATAATCAGAGGGCGCTAAATATCACCAAGGATGTCAATACGAGAACAAAAACGCATAAGGCGAACGATATCAAAAGTATCCGAGTCACCAAGAATTCTATCGAGGGACAGGCGACCGCGAGGGGCGGTTGGAAAGCAAGACACACGCTCGTTCTGGAAGTCAGGACATTCAAGAAGGACATGCACGACCGTAAGAGGGACAATGCAACTAGGACAATAAGGAGCAGGGCGGCGCTCCATCAAGTGACCATGGGTTAAGCGAGTATGGCCAATACGCAACCTCGCCAGAGCTGTTTCCCACCGCCGGTTATGGTGGAAGGAGGACGGCCACGAGGAAACACAACATTTAAGAGTACGTAGCTTGTTACCAGTAACAGACAACCAAGAAGCCTGCCAACGGGTAAGGACTGAGGAATGGATAACCGGGTAAAAGTCGGAATACGGAATGCCTTTACGAGAGATGGGACAAGAGCGGACAGCTTCCTTGGCGGCAGCATCCGCACGCTCATTTAAAGACACACCAATATGGCTGGGAACCCAACAAAACTCAACCAACTTAAATTTACTGTGAACAAGAAACAGCCAATGCTGGATCTCGACAACTACTGGATGAACCGGATTAAAGGACCCCAGAGCCATGAGGGCACTACGAGAGTCAACAACAACTACAATGGAAGACTGACAACGAGAAAGCAGGAGACGAAGAGCATAGAGAATAGCATAAAGTTCCGCTGTAAAGATGCTAGTCTCCGGAGATAAGCGACACACATAAGTGTGATCAGGAAAAACAACAGAGTAGCCAATACCGTCCACTGACTTAGACCCATCGGTGAAGACAGAAACGGAGCGGGAGTGAGAAGAAAAGTGCTCGAGGGAAAGGCGTTTCAGAACCGTAGGAGGGGTAAAAGCTTTAGTGATACGGGTCAAGGATGTACAAAACCGCGGAAGAGGGACCCTCCACGGGGGCAAAGAAGGAACAACACGAGGAGAAACATCAGAAATACGAACGGAAAGAGAATCCTGTAGGCGAGATAACCGGACAGAAAGAGGGAGGTGGTGAAGAGGAACAGGAACCGCAGGAGGGGTAAAAGTTAAAGCACGACAGAGGCGAGAGGAAGGATGTTGCAAGGACCGCGCAAGAAAGCGAAGACAGTAGCGATCACGGCGGTCCTGGAGAGACAGGAAGCCAGTCTCAACATACAAGCTAAGGATGGGAGTCGAACGAAAGGCACCAGAACTGAGGCGCAACCCAGTATGGTGCAAAGCATCAAGACGGCGAAGAGTAGAAGGAGAAGCAGACGAGTAAGTAGGGCAACCATAATCGAGCTTAGACAGGACGAGAGAGGAATGTAAAGCAAGGAGAGTGCGCCTATCTGCCCCCCAAGAAGTATGGGACAAGACCCGAAGGAGGGTAAGGGCCTTAGAGCACTCAACACGGAGGTAAGAGATATGGGGAGACCAAGACAAACGAGTGTCAAGGAATAACCCCAAAAGCTTCGCGGA